TAATTTTCTCCTTACTGTCCTCATCTAACTCATCCTTCTCCTTCTTATCAAGATCCCTAAAGTATAGAGAAAAGATATCGATATATTCATTTCTCAATATCTTCTCCATAGTTTTGGTTGCCAAATGGGAACCTAAACCTGAAAGACTGACAGTAGGCGTCGCCTGCGGTGGCCATTTAGCTGTGCCCCAAAATTTGTTTGCTTCCCCAGTTCGGGCCGATTCCAAGGTGACAGTAGCTGGTTTGGCCGACTGAGTGGTGGAATCATCCCTCTTATCCCCTATACTGGGTTCCAACCCACTCGCAGACTGAATCCCAACTGCAGCATGTGACTGAACCCCAACCACCGGTTGAGCCCGCCCCTGGTCCCAGGGCCATGCGAGTGAGGTGGAAGTACTTGCTGATGTGAGTGTGGTGGAAGTACCTGCTGGGACAGCCGTCACCAACTGCTCGCGCCCTGCTACATCAGTGGAAGCAGCAGTTGACCCCACCAACTGCGTGGACCCGGCCACAGCACTGGACGTAGAGGCCAATGCCGCGGGCTGACTGGGTCCGGCCACAGCAGCCGCCATGGACCCGGACGAAGTCTGCACAGATGGATGTGCTTCGGGGCTGGTGATGGTCTGCACAGCCGAAGACACCAAAGAAGAGCCCTCCTCGGCCCCCGAAGCCGCTGGTTGGTCAGGAAGCCGAACCGCCCTTCCAGCCCCCGCGATAGAAGCCGACTCTAAAATAGAAACCCGGGACAACAAGGATTTAAACAATTGCTTCTTGCTTGCCCGGCGAGTGGGGCGTGAACCATCCCCACCAATCCCGTCCCCCCTATCCTTTTCAACTTGGTTAACACGCTGAAGAATGGCCTCCAAATCTTCAATAGACACTCCATCTTCATCTGACGATGACCCGTCCTGACGCAAAGGGCGCTTGTGACCCGTCTTCTCTGCGGGACCCTTTCCCTTAGGGCCCCCCTTGTTTTTCCTTGAAGGCATCCTAAAGAAACGGAGATGGGAAGACACAAGCGCATGAGCATACCCTCATCGTAATGAACCCAAAACGCACTACCAGCCCTTCTCTAAAGTAGACAGCTGCTTCGTTCTAACCTTATTAATAGGGGGGGGGGGAGGCTATGCTATAACCCCTATATGCTCATATATCGCATGACACATCCCCATTCTCCATCCGCCATAGCCATTTTGTCATTGCCTTAACAAAAGGGGGCAGGATGTGTGATTTGGGTAACTCCCCAATAGAATCATAGAATCAAAGAGTTGGAAGAAAACCCCAAATGCCGTACATAGAATCTAAGAAATGGGAGAAACCCCCAGGGGTGTGGAGTTACCTATAGCCCCCCATAAAACAAACTCAAAGAGTTGACAGAGGCCCCAATGCCACTCAGAGAATCAAAGAGTTGGAAGAGACCCCATGTAACAACATAAATCTGGAGGTCTCACTAATTCCAAAACCCTGGTCCCAAGGAGGCATTATACTAATAGACCTTCCACAGCCCCCCTAGCCAAGGCAGACCCTTGGCCTTGCCATGAAAAATTTCCCCTTGGACTGAACAGAAAAATTGGCCATCCTAACACATCAGCCGCCACAAAGACCCAGGCCATGGCCTAGCAGCAACCCAACATGGCGCTGCCCTGAGAAAATGGCAGCCGCCAACTGTAATGTTCAAGAGCAAAGGCCCTGTCACCGGCCTAGCCCCTTGCTAAGTGCACAGCTAAATCAAAAAGATGGCGGCCGATGCCGCCATTCCATTCAAACTGTGTCATTTTTTCATCCCCAAAATGGCGGCCGTTGCCTCCAACCCGCCGCTCAAAACGCGCCCCAAAATGGCGGCGATGAAAAACAATTGCAAAAATGGCCACTGCTATAGGCGCGCAATGAGCCGCCTATGAGCCCCAAAATGGCGGCAACGAAAAACAATTGCAAAAATGGCCACTGCTATAGGCGCGCAATGAGCCGCCTATGAGCCCAAGCAAATCTTGCGCCTCATACTAATCACGCCGCGCGCTGCCGCTCCCGTCCGCGGCCTGCGCGACAGCGCCCCTTTAAGAATTCAGCAGAGGCTCGCTCAAAAGGCACCGCTCGACGATCACGCCGCGCGCCATCCCGCTCGCGCCATCCCGCTCGCGGCCTTTAAAAAATTCGGCCAAGGCTTGGGGAAAAGGCGCCGCTCGCCGATCACTCCACGTGCCATCCTGCTGCGCCATCCTGCTCGAGGCCTTTAAAATTCGACCTAGGCTTGAGCTAGAGCAGCCGCTTGACGATCACGCCGCGCGCCTTCCCGCTCACGGCCGAGACACACCACCAGGGGAAAGGGTTTGAAGAAATCCCCTTTTCCCCAACAAAAGGGAGAGGGTAAGAGAAATTCCCCTATCCCCGCATATCGGGCCGCAAACGACAGCCACAAAGCTGGAGCAGCCCGAGCGCAGGCCCCTCGCCGACGCTCCGACGCCGCCGCTCCGGAAAGGAAGGAGAGACCGCACTCTCCTTCCAGGTGTGCTCCAAACCGACCTGGAGCACGCAGAACACGTCCTCTCATCTGAAAAGTCTTTACCAGACTGAGGTAAGGAGGCTGGCTGACGGAGTTAGCCAGCCCCCGCCCCTCTTCCAGGAGGTTCTAAAGGAACCTCCCATTCTCTCCCTTCAGGGGGAGGGGCAAATCGCTCTCCCCACCAACTGTGTTGGTGTGGAGAGTCCCTTCATAACAGTTCCTAAATAACTCTTAGGAGGATGAATTCTTCTGACAAACAGGTCTCAAACTTAGTTCCTTTAAAAAGATGTTTCTTTCTTCAACAGATTGTTTCAGGCACACGCTTATCCTTTCTTTATGATGGTTCTGTTGCAATAAAGATGCTTATTAGGGCTTCCTCTCTTTTTCCACAACCATTACTTTTAATATAAATAAGTCACTCGACTTATCTGAACTATATTGGCTCAAAGCCAAAACCTTCCTGATTCTTAATACCAAAGAATCAGCCTTCTCCTGTAGTTCTTTAACTACAGAATCCTCACTGGTTCTCCACACACGACAGAACCAGCCACTTCTGCAGTTCACCGACCACAGACTGACTACTTTAAAATGGCTGCTCTGCCAAGTGGCAGTTGGCTTCGCCCCTATCTCCATAGCAACTCAGCTCAAAGCGAGCTAAGCTGGCTACCATCCCCCAATATTATGCAATACTATATACTTACCCTTACAAACATCTATAACAATACATAACTGTAGATAAAAATTTACACTTCCTTACACATATACAGTTTTCCACTAAGTTAAGAGCCCATAGTTTGCAACTGGTAAAAAAATATGAAAAAGCAATTTGTGTGTGTGTGTGTGTGTGTGTCAGGAGCGACTTGGGAAAAAGGCAAGTTGCTTCTGGTGTGAGAGAATTGGCCATCTGCAAGGATGTTGCCCAGGAGATGCCCAGATGTTTGATGCTTTGGGTGGAATTCAGGTGGAATTCCAAGACATGCAGACACCCAGGCATGTACACACATATATGCATGTGAGTGCACACACACTTGCACACAGATTTGTACACAGGCACACCATATACTAGCTTCCCTGCTAAAGGTTGCTCTCTCTTTTGTTGTTAGAAGGGGAGAAGATCCACCGGTTAAGGAAACCTGTTGCAATGCTGGGCTTCATCTTGATTCAGATTGTTTATCACAGCAATTGACTGGGGCTATATTTAAGGCTTGGCGGGGTTACCTATAAATAACAGGCAGTGCATCTCTACTTACAGACAAGTGGAGATTCATAATCTAGATTCATAGAATAGGCTTGGCAGGGAATTCAAAGAGAATAAATTACGTTGACCATAGTGCCCCCAAAATTAATTTGGTTTTCACATGTTTTAAGTTACATAGTAAAATTATGCATGTGATAATGGGTTGCTGTGAATTTTTTGGGCTGTATGTCCATGTTCCAGGAGCATTCTTTCCTAGCGTTTTGCTTGCATCTGTGGCTGGCATCTTCAGAGGCTCTGTTGGAAGTGAGGCAGGTGGAGTGGCAAGTGTTGCCTCACTGCCAACAGAATCTCTGAGGATCGGACATTCGGACATTGTGGCCAGGCCTCTTCCGGAATGCTAACATTAAGGATACTGTAAACAGTAAACAGTATCCTTAATTAAAGCAACATTTGGCCTAAATCCAGTTGCTAGCCCCAGCTAGAGTACGTTCATTGAATTAATAGAACAAAGTTAAGTATTGATTGTCAAGTTCCCATTGATTCAGTTGATTGTTCTAATTGTGTGGAAATCTAATTGTGTGGAAATTATGAGTTTTAGCATAGTGGAGAATCACCCTGGTGTACTTAAAATCTTCAGCATTATCAAAGTCTCCAATCCAAACTACAAATTCCCACTTTAGTTTAGACATAGCCCAGCAAAATTAGATCACATGACTTTGAAACCAAATAAGTCACCAATGTATAGAAAAAAACTTAAAAACAGACCCTTACTTGCAGACATCCAATTTTCTAAGTCTATTGGATTAAATATAATGATCTTGACTTTTTTTATCATAGTGTTTGATTTTTATCCTTCTTCCTCTTCTCTCTTATTCTCGCTTCACCCAGATGTGTTGGTGCATCAGTATTGTTTATACAATGTTTTGGCCCCAATTTATGTCTGTGGTTAATAAACTGACATTTCAGGTATGTCAGGGAACCTCTAGTTTAAATAACACTAAAATGAAAGACCTAAGACTCAATATTGTACATATAACTCTTGGACCATTTGCTTGCAATGATATTTTCCTAGATTAAGAACCAGGAATAGTTTGGTCTCTCAGAATTCTGTGATGCTGGTGTTTTCCCTTCTCTTTTTTAGGAATGAACTGGAGACATATCAAAGGATTGATGCTCTTTTTTCCCTTTTCTTTCCATATTTACTTTTTACTCAATAAAATGTTTCTCCTTCATTCTGAGGTAACTTACATTCCTTCTTGATTTTTGCTCAACAAACTTAACTGTGCCCTTTTTTCTGTCCCAGGCACATTGTTGTCTGTGGCCACATTACATTGGAAAGCGTGTCCAACTTCCTGAAGGACTTCCTGCACAAGGACAGGGATGATGTGAACGTAGAAATCGTCTTTCTGCATAAGTGAGTAAATGCTAAAGTATGATGCTATTTTATCAGAGACAGAAATAAGGGGCCTGGACATATAAAACTGTGCTGTAGAAACATTGGAGGAGTTGTATTTGTGTGCACAATGACAGTTTCCTTGTCATCAGTTCTACCAGGCAACTTTATTGACTTTCGGGGGATTTAATTTTTTTTTTTTTACAAATAATTCTGATGAAAACTCAGGATGTACAAATGCCCCTTGTTGTCTCATAATAACAATTTTAAGGATCCCTTAGAAAATTTGGCAGGTTTCAATATGGGATTCTGGCTCTATTCGTAAGTATATATAAGGGATAATAAATCAGATTAAAATCAGTGGAGCTAGAAGGAGCTGACAGATTTCATATGCATGCAAAATGTCTGTATTTTGTTATTCTCAATGGGGCAGCTAAAGCTGGCAGGATCTGTGACCCACCACAGTCTTAGGAGTGGGATATGGGCAAATGAAGATCCAAAAGTTTCAGGTAATAGTTGTAATGCAACCAAGTCTAGTGTCAGCACATGATTGGACATTGGCATGCCAGAGCATCCTTTATTCTTATTTTTAAAAGAGTTTTAGGTAGTTGGTGCCCTACTTAGATTGTATGTTGTTGTGAATGCTCATTTTATTGCCTTACTTTAAAATAGACTGTCCTTTTCTATAAGAGACTTGTCTTATTGCCAGGGAAATATAGTCAACATTAAGATAGCAGAAACAAAGTCCATTTTATTTCTGTTATCATTTGGGCACTATGATTTCAGTAAGTTTAAAATGTCAAACTGAACATACACTGATTTTTTTAAAAACCCAATCGTATTGTTTGTAGGAAGTCAGCAGAAAAGATTGAGGGGCGGGGGTGGGGAACAACTGTACCGTTGTATTGGATTTTATCTTTATCAACATATGTAATATCGTCAATACAATTGTGGAAAATAATAATAAAATTATACAAGAAAAGGTAAAAACGTTATCTGAGCGGACATCTAGTCACTCCCACTGTGCCGTATTCTGGATGTCTGCCCTGAAGTATGTTTTTTGTGATGGTCTATTCAGACATGGAAGTCATTAAAATATTGCAGATCCTGAGTGAAGTTTATTTAAGTGTGAATCAGCAACATATGAAGACTTAAAAATTTAAACTGTAGGATTTTATTATGGGTTTTATATATATCCAAAGTTGCAAACATATGTTCACACAATAATATGGAACAGAAAGCAGAAAATAATGGGTGAAGAGTGGAGCTAAAGTTATGCTCTTCATGACTATAAGTACATTTTTGCTGATTTTAAACCTTCAAAACATGAACCTTAGCATTTCCAAAGAATTCATTTCCTGGAAATGTCCTTCTCAGTGTCATGATTTGTTAAGGTAGTTGCTGTTTGTCATGAACATGCCATTACAATTAAATCTAACATTAGAATTGACTTGTTTTATACAGCTGACATTTTTAAAAATACAGTTGTTGTTGTTGTTCATTCGTTCAGTTGTCTCCGACTCTTCGTGACCTCATGGACCAGTCCACGCCAGAGCACCCTGTCGGCCGTCACCACCCCCAGCCGTCACCACCCCCAGTAGATCTCACTTATCAAATCTTTGCCCATCCAACATCCTGTATTATCCAATGCAGGCTGCCTCCCACCTGGATCCACAGCTGTTTCAATACATTGCGATGTTTTTTGTGCTAAATTCATAAATACAGTAATTACTACTAACGTTACCATGTATTGAACAACTTTTTTGGTTGAGATGTTGTAAAACATGATGTTTTGGTGCTAAATTTGTAAAAGAATAATGTAATTTGACATTTAATAGGCTTTTCCTTAATTCCTCCTTATTATCCAACATTTTCGCTTATCCAACATTGTACCGGCCCATTTATGTTAGATAAGTGAGTCTCTACTGTAGATGTTTTCAAGGCAGAGATGAAAGTTTGACTTGTCTTACATCAGCTAAGAGCAATTTTGAAATGAAATGATACCAATGCTCTTAATGGGAAGCTATGTAGTTTCTTATCCTGGCAGTCAAAAATGATTAAAAATATTATAATTATGCAAGAAGTGCAAGATGAAGCAAAGTGCAAAAGACACTAAAATAACTAGAGATCACATTACATTCATTAGAGAATTATTATGAAAAAAGAATCACTAACAGGATACTTAGCATCAGCGGTTGTTCCCGAGTTGCTAGCTTTAAAATAAAATATATACTTGAATAATAAATTAGAAGTGATATATTAACAGCAGTGGCATGTTTACCTTTTAATGCAATCAGGATTTTGGGTAATAAAACCCTTTGTGTAATATAATCTTGAGACTGTGACTGTGGACGCATTGTGTTTAAAGCCTCTCCCATTGTGAAAAAAAGATTTTCTTTGCTTGAATGATGTATGTGCATGGTGAATAGAGATGGAAAAAATAGTTTTAAAAGGAAGAAAAATAATTGAACACAATGTTTTTTGAGTGGTAGGAAATCTTAAGAAGAAGAAACCTGGACTGATGGGAATCTTTGCAGTTCAGTTCTAGCATTTTCAAGAAACACCATTTCTGGGGTACAGAAAAATAATATTTCTGTGTATAAATATTATTTTATGAGTGGAAAAATGCTATTTCACACACAGAAAAAGCACAGTTGGAGTAGTTTTTTTTGTGTGCAGATAATTTAAGGTTACTTGAAATCCTGCAGAGTTTCCCCGGCTTATTCCAGTCAGAGGTTCCTTCCACATTGGCTAAAATATGGATCAAATTGCATTTTGAGGCCACATATGAGGGTAAACCCCTACCTCATTGATGGTGGTGGTGGTGGGTGGCCATACATTGCCACCCCGTTCCAATGTGGTATTGGCATTGCTGGGCATGATGGCACCAGTTTCCTCTTTGTGAGCCCTGTTTCACTTCCAAAAGAAAAGGGAAGCCTACTTACAATTCTTGGAGATTTCCATGGTGTCATTCTGTAATGACACCATGGAGCTTTGGAGAGGGAATCCCCCCTCCCAAGGTTCCATTGAGTCATCACAGAGTGCTATGCAATGACAGGGAAGCCTCCAGGAACAGTAAACAGGTTTCCCTTTTCTTCTGGGTACAAAACAGGGGTCAGGAGAGATGGGGGGGGGGGGGCTGCCATCCCAGCTCTCTGAATACAGTATGCCTGTGGGGATGCTTCCTGGTATTGCAGTTGGTGATCCTAGGAGGCAGTCCCTACTGCCCACATGCCTGCAAAGGAAGATCCAGATCTTTTAAGGTATTTTTTTACCTTGGTGTAAACTGGATTAAACAGTTTACCCTGGATTACCCTGTATTGGCCTGAGTACATTGTTTGGATGCCCTAGGTTAATGCATTATCTACACTGGATTATCTACTAGTATAGATGAGCCCAGAGTGGATGGACCAGGGTCTGATTCATTATAGGTATCTCTCATCTAAAAATGAGTCAGTATGTATCAGTATCTTGTGTTACTCAGTAGAAAAGGAAGAGAGAAAGAAACTCAACCTACTCATGGTTCACTAGGTTCCATAATTAATTGAAAATAGCTTTTTAAACATTAACAGTGTTTTCAATTTGACATTATTGTACTTGTGTTGTCTTTTCTTTCTCAATTTAGTATCTCCCCTAACCTTGAGTTGGAAGCTCTTTTTAAACGACACTTCACTCAGGTGGAATTTTTTCAGGGTTCAGTTCTCAATCCGCATGACTTGGCTAGAGTAAAGGTAATGCCTCTTATTTTCTGTTATATCATTTTGACAAATTATATAATTATGGCACAGATTTAAAAAGTAATTCTCCTTTCCTGTGGATAATTGGGAAGCAGTGCAGTTCTGCAAGAAAATGGATGCCACCACAAGAAACCCTTTAACCCTGTTGCTAGACTACCAGACTTAATTCCCTGATGATTACATAATAATCACTAGACACACTCTCACCTGACTGCCAAAATAGAATCCCCTGAAAGTTAGTACTACTTTATCAAGTGTAAAACTTATATTTTCCATACTGTAACAACTCACTTCATGTAGTAAATTAACTCTCTAGAGTTATAGCTATGTCAAGACTTGAATTTTTTTAGTTGTGGGTTTTTAAAAAACTATGCTTCACTTCAAAGTGGTTCAGTTCAGAATCTTCTAATTTAGTTTGCAGAATTATTCTGAGGCGGTAGTCCACTTCATGTATTAATTGCTATCCATATCCTCATCATGTTTGTCATGGGTGGGTAAAATATGGATGCCTAAATATTGTTGAACTGCATCTGTCTTCCTTCCTAGCCAAGATAGCTAATGAAAAATACCGTGAATCGTACATGGGAGTTATGTGTGGTCCAAGCAATATGACCAATCCTCAACCCAAAGTGTTGCTGTAAAGTGTCTCATCCCCCCATCCCACTCAGATGATGGACCACTATTGTTGTCCTTCTTCCTACATCTAGGACATTTATCTCCCATTGGGACTATTTGCCAGTCTGGCATGTTGTCATGATGGAATCACAGGCTTCATCTTTGAAGTCTTAGTAGTACACCCATGTAGTACTACATTTCCTCTTGCAGCAGTTGCATTTACTGGCCATAGAAGTACCATATTTGAAGCATTTCCCGTATGATCTTTGATCTAGCAGCTGTATATTTTCTCATTTCTCTCCAAAGTTGTATTTTTAAAAATTCACTTTTCTTATATCTCTCTGTTTGTTTTCTCCTTTGGTGTCCAGATAGAGTCAGCAGACGCGTGCCTAATCCTTGCCAACAAATACTGCGCTGACCCAGATGCTGAGGATGCCTCCAATATTATGAGGTAATGTAGGGAAAAATTATATTTAACTTTACTCTACAAAGTCAGAAACCATCACCTTAAGGGTTTCAGTAAGATGTGATTAAAGAATAGAAATATACACATGTTTTACTAGACTTTTTTGCACCTCTAATGTTTGTAGCAGGAGTTCGACTGGCTGACTCAAGGAGAAAGTTACCACACATCGCAATTTCCCAATTACCCTGAGTCTTTACAATATGAAAGATTAAAAGTGTTGTTTGTGATATTATTACCATTAATACTATTCACCACTTTTCTCTTGTTTGTTTTTTTTTGGAAGATTTTTAGAAAGAAAAATGGAATTGGACAAAATAGGAACTGTTCAAATTTTGTCTTTCCCAAGAATCAAAGTTTTCACTACTCAGGGTACACATCCCAAATATGTCGATTGCCATATGAACAAGTAGTTAGTTACCATTCCCTCTTGTAAGTAACTTAACTACTGCAATTGCCGCTACCTTCATGGTGGCTTCCACAACAGGAGAGCAAGACTTCTGCCCACATATTCTTATGAATAGATTGTTTAAAACAGTACATCAATGACCTATATTGTCTTGGGAGATACTTGAGTCTTGGGGTATGCAAGCCTCTGTTACAGGAGCCATGTGGAAGGAAGCTTTCAACAGTTTTTGCCAAAATAGGTCCTGGTATATGTTTGAGCTTCATTCCCATTAGCCCCTTTAGCCCTAGTCAAAGTTATGGGTGTTTGATTCCTGAAGATCTAGATCACTCAGGGCAGGAAAGATAGCTTCACAACAGTGTTAACCATGCCGATGTGGGTATCTATAGTGGATTTTCTGTACATAGACAGTTCTGTACATAGACAGTTGCAATGTGATCTCCAAACAGAAGGATTTGAGACTTAGCCAATATCTAAATGGAAGATACAATTCCCAACCTGAGTATTGTGTTCCATTTCCAAAAAGGAAAAAAGAAAAAAGAAAAAATATATGATTAATCTCAGTTACAGAAAGGTAGCAAAAAATGACAAATGCAGGGCTATAATAAGGTAAGTTTCCCTATTGTTGGCATCATACTCCTACAGATCTAATTTAATGGGACCAATCTGCCCTTTTAAAAAACTCAAATGTCAGAGACCCATTAAAAATGAGCTAATACAGCAAATTGGCCCATGTTCTGAACAAATTTTATTGGGTTGTCAAATACGCACATTCTACAAAATGACGGCAGAGCTGGGAGAAACAATTTAAATTAAAGGGAGCAGACTGCGCCTGGATGCTCATTCTTCTGCTATTATACTGAGTGCCATTTTGAGTGGGGAGATTCTTTAGGGACCAGTACATTGAGTAAACACAGCTGCTCTGTAGCCTTTGTTCATTTGAGGTGGGGCTGGCAATGGCCTCTTGGATAAACCCAGTGAAAAATGACAAAGGTTGGTTGACAGCAATATTTTGTCCACAGTGTCACTGTGCTTAATCATTGTTCCATTTAGTCAAATGTACTACCTGGGATTCTATTTTCACAGGAGCTATTCTAAAGCAACTAGGATAACTCTTTATTCAGAAATGATTAGAAGTATGCAAGTTTACTTCTGACATTGTTTCTGAGAAGGCTGTTTCACTTTGGTCAGTTATAGCAGCCTCAAGTAAGGATCAGTCCAATACAAATCTTCAAGCACCAGATCAAGCTGTTTGTCACAGCATGTGGCGTTGGACTATGGGCACAATTGAATCTTGGTGGTAACTGAGTTGACCAGGAGACAAACCTCAGTTGCTGTGTGTTGTTAAAAAAGTTGCAGGATCTCCCCCAAAGTGCTTTATTCCTTTTTCAAAGCTACATTTTTAATCTACTGGAAGAACTTTCGCTTTGAATTTAAATTATATACATACATTAAAGAGAAATCCAGATGCAGATTAGTGAGTTTTTAAAATAGATTCCATGTGTTTAATTAAAGCTGGGGAAATGGGGGTAGTAAACTCTTATTAGGTGAACTGCATTCTCTTGTGTGTTTTCTGAGCAGTCAAGTTTGAATCAATAAAACTGCATGTGTAATTAAATGCTTCAGTAAAAAAAAGTTTATAAAAGAGAACTAGATTGGGAGAAAGATCTTTGCAAATAACATCTTGTTTGCTAGAATAAGCATCTCAGCCAATTTTGTCAAGTTCCTGCTTGGTTGTAGCATATAAGAGTAATAAACACACACACACAAACACGCACACGGTTTCCTGAACATCTTTATTTATAGTGTTAGTAGGTCAAAATTGACTTGAAGGCAATGAACACAACAAAATATGGCATTTACTTTTTTGTGGATGAAGATGGGGTGAAATTGGGATCTTCCTCATCCTAACCCTTAAATGCTGAATGAATTGGATGAAACTGGGTTGTTGTAGGTTTTTCCGGGCTATATGGCCATGTTCTGGAGGCAATTTTTCTCCTGACGTTTCGCCTGCATCTATGGCAAGCATCCTCAGAGTACCTCTGAGGATGCTTGCCATAGATGCAGGCGAAAGGTCAGGAGAAAAATTGCCTCCAGAACATGGTCATATAGCCCGGAAAAACCTACAACAACCCAGTGATTCCGGTCATGAAAGCCTTCGACAATACATTGGATGAAACTGTCTATGCTTTGTTATACATTTAGATAATAGTCATTTTCTCCATTAGACTACTTAGGATATCCTTCCTTATAATATCCTTTTGCTGACCATAAAAACTGTTCTATGCAGGTAGGCCATCAACATCTGCGGCTGCATCTACACTGCAAAATAATGCTGTGTAGAGTCACATTAGTCTGCGTATATTCACACAATGCACACATGCCAATGTGATTTAGCTCAGGGGAAACCGCTTAATACAGCTTCATCCTGGATTTATTAAAAAAAGAACACTGGTGAAGGACCAAATCCTGCAGCAGGATTTGGACCTTTTTCCCATGTTGGGGCAGTGGGGATAGCTATCTTCAATCCCTATCCGTGAGCCAGGATTGTATCCCAACAGTCTTTGCATGCACAGGCAGCTTGGGGAGGTGGGATAGCAGCCTCTTTCTCCCCTCTCCCCCAGCACCCTAATTCCCCTCCCCAAAAGAAATAAAATCTCCATGTACCAAAGCTCCATGTACTTTACTTCCTGTTTTTGTCATCATTGAGTGAGTAAAGCAGCTTCGTAGTAGAGGAGACTCTCCTTTTTCTTACCAGTTCTAAATCTCATTATGTGCCTTTGTAGAAGGGTCCCATCTTTCTGTTAAGGACACAAATATGAAAATAGACATTGTAGTATTTTAGTTATTGTTAAAATGGTGTTTAAATTGTTTTCATTGGTTTTTCAATAATATAATTAATTCAACAAGTATTTTAATGTGCATGTTTCATTGTGTTTTTAATTGAACTTCTTCATTATGTTGGAAGATTCTTTGTATCCCAAATCTGAGAGGATACAATATAGGTCAAACAAACAAATAAATAAATACATAAAATCATCACAAAATATCTACTTCAGATGAGCCACAATGATGCAGGCTGCTTCCCGCTCCCTAGTAATTTAGAGAATCTGGGAAGAGAAAATGGCAATGCCTTGATTCCTAAATGGAATAGTATTTGTGTGTACATGCTTCACCTTTCTCCTGGAATGAATGGGATAATACAACCAATAAGCAAGGCTATCATGTGATTAAAGTTCTGTGCAGGAACAAACAAACAAAAACAATGACCTGTGAATGTCCCAGGAAGATCGTGCAGGCCCAGGAACGGCCAGCACAATAATATCCCTACTCAGGCATTATACAATTTAGATTAAGCCAAAATACATGGCATGGAGTTCACTGTTCCTGTCCCATTTGATCATCTCTCTCTCTCAAATGGAAACCATTTTGAGAGTTGGTTTGAATAAGAGTGCCCTTTCAATGCCTGGAGACTTTCCATGTAATTCGGAAGCCTGGAAATTGCGGTTTGCAATCTCAAGAAAACGTGGGATGGCAAACTAGAAGAGACTCTCCACTTCAAACTGTCACTGGCATACTCCCCACCTTGCAAATTTTCTTAATCTAGATGGATATAAATAAAACAATTGCTTTGAATGCTATTTTTATGCTTTTTGGCAGGGGGTTGTACTGTATGGCCCACAAGGTCTCTTCCAACTCTATGATTCTATGATTCTATCTTGGAATGGTTGGTATAAACATAGCAATAGAGAGTAATTAATAAGGAGTGCAGTTGTTCCAGTTCCAATGTTCTAAATTGTTTCATAGTAAATTAGAAAATTTCACATAGAATATCAAAATATATTTTGAACTCTGTTTTCCATATAATCTTCTGAACTTGAAATACTGACCTGCCCTGCCCTAATGTGGGTGCTTCTCAATAGGCTGCAGGAAATCTTTAATCCAAGTCTGGTTCCATAATCATGGTTTGAATCATGCTTTCATATTTTGGACACCTTTAAGAATGGTTTAATAACAGTAATTGGAGGTTGTTCTTTTTAAGTCAGTCAACCAAATTATTCATTAATATTTCCCACAACAATTTCACAAGTCCTTATATTTAACATTAATTGCTACCAGAATTATTTAACTTAATAGTCTTTACCACTTTGAATTGTTATTGACCACTTGAGTAATTGCACATGTTTGCTTAAAAAACAATTACAGTTTAACATATCAGACCACAAATTAATTAACCTTGTAAAGTTTTTTCCCAATTATTTAATGTTAATATGTTCGATTTTTGTTAATGTAATGTTAATGCATTAACTCTAATATCTTAAAGCTCTGTTTAAGAAACCTGGATCGTTTTTTTTTTTTTGAAGCTCAGTATAGATGGTTTTAGAGAACTGAACTAAGCCAAAGTCACATTTAGGAAATTAATGTGATATCGTGACAAATTATAGTTTATTTTGTTTCCTTTGTAGAGTAATTTCCATAAAGAATTATCACCCAAAAATAAGAATAATTACCCAGATGCTGCAGTATCACAATAAGGTAAGAACAATCATGAAGGACACTCGTTTCCAATAATTTTGTTTAAAATCTTCTCACAATTTTTCATAACATTTTTTGCAGAATGTTTCTTAAATTGCACCCATGTAATGGAGTTTATGAATGTGCCTAACATCTCAACACAGTAAAACCTTTCAGGTTCTTGAAGAATAGTTATAGGCTATAACTACTTGCTTAGTGGAAAAAATCTCCTTAACACTACAGAATGATACAGATTACTTCAAGTGACTCCAGGGTGAAGGAACTGAATAACCTTGGAGGGGGTTCTAGAATGTCCTAACTAGTTAGAACTTGAATCTTTTAATAGGTGTCCACTGCAAACTCTCTTTTCTTATGGTAGTTTTATTTCCACTATGTAGTGTGGGGAGTTTAAATAGTCACATGTGAATATGTGATAAAATATATGTGCCGTATAACACAGTCCAACAACAAAAACATTATTGATGTCTTCGTTTTTAGGCCTTTTCCTGGGGTTATTTAGGGTGCTGGTTTAGAAAAATGTGTTGGATATACCCCATCAGCTCTAGTTTCTTAGGTATGTTCATCATGATTTTTATAGGTAATGAAATGAAGACTGGAATATATGGCATATGTTCTGTATCTCAAAAACTAGAGACGATAGAAAACTGGTTCCGTTTTTGGAATTAGCAGACCAAATATACCCAGAAAGAGGTCTAACATTTGAGGCACAAAAATGTGTGTTGACCAGGTGAAATGTGCATTTCCGTTCTTGATTTTCAGTTGGAGCACAATTGTCTCACTTCTCTGAGCGTATAGTTTATGTTAGCATATAATTTGCATACAATTAACTTGCAGCACATAAAGTCCACATACATTTTCTGTCAATTAGTCACTTTGATTTCAACAAATCAGTCCAGATTTAAAACCCACGCTGACTCAAGTTCCACACACAGAACTCATCCTTAACAGCTTTTGCTACACAACGTCTCTTCACAAGTCATTCGTATTTCTACATTTCTCCATATCATTATATACTTTTAAAGATGTGACATATAGGGAGAGAAGAGAGATGTTCCTCTCCCTCTCCACCACTGTTGTGGTCTGGATAGCAATATACAGTGCAGACACACTGCCATATGATCCAGTTTCTGAATGCAGATTATCTGCTTTGAACTGAATTACAAGTTATTGTAGACTAGCATAATCCAGTTCAAAACAGATAGTTTGAATTCAGAATTATATGACAGTGTAGATCCAGCCCCAAAAGGCTAGTGCAGTTATAGAGTGAAGATCTGATACGGAAAATTGGGACCTGATACAGAAAAGTGAAAATTTTGAAGGAACATAGTTATGATTATTAGGTAAATTTTGGGTCTTCTGTGGGTACATCTACATATACTGGGGCTGATCTGGAGTGGAGTACTCTGAATCGGCCTGTGAGAATCCAGACAGCTAGGCTCCAAGTGTCCAGGTAGTGGGAGGGTATCGGCACAGCCAGCTTCCAAGCTGGACAGCCACCCTTATCATCACCATCCTGTCCCCATCATAGTGGCAATCACAGGGTACAAGATTGTTCATGGTCATGCACTATTGCTAGTGCTGGTACTGGATGAAGTGTGATCTAGTCCTCCAAGACAAGAAGAGAGATCTATAAGAAGGAGGAGGAGGAGGAGGAGGAGAAGGAAAATGAGAAGAAGGAGAAGACTCCAGTATCTACTGCAGTTGCTTTCTCTCCCATTCCCATAGTTTGTTAGCAAAATACTGATGAAAATGCTTGGAGATGATTTGGTTGTATATTTTTTCACCTGTGTATTTCTCTTTCAGGCCCATCTGCTGAATATCCCAAGCTGGAATTGGAAAGAAGGGGATGATGCAATATGCCTTGCAGAGCTCAAGCTGGGCTTCATCGCCCAGAGCTGCCTGGCACCAGGCCTATCGACAATGCTGGCCAACCTCTTTTCCATGAGGTCATTTATAAAGGTAATGTCTCATCCTATTAGAGGACATTAGCATGGGATTCAATTTGTCACAGGGCTGAGTAGAGTGCATGGCCTAAACTCAAAACAGAGAGAAATACATCAACTTTGATGGCTAAAACATAAAACAACATATCCAAAGAAAAATAAAACCCATAGCCTATTACAAATTTGGCAGCAAGCCAGGTTCCTTCAAAATTATGTTTTTGTTTTTATTTGACACATCCATGGCCATTAGAGACTGTTCAAAGTACAATCCCTTTTTATTGTTTTTTTCTTCCTTTCAGATAAACCACATGTTTATCAATGTAGAAATTCTCTGCAGTTAAAAATATGATCTCTATCCAATCCATATGGCAACAAAGTGCCGAGAGAAAAAGACACATAGTTCTTTCTCAGCTTTTTTTCTTCCCCCATCAAGTGGCTAGTGAATCCCTCACTGCAAGAATAAATATGAAACATATGTTTGTACGAAAGCCCAAACCTCCAACAACAATAATTCATTTATTTATTTCTTTTCAATCAATGAGGCCCTCGAGGTTTAAGGGAAAACAATAATAAATGATATACTCTGGTAATTTTCAAACACATGGGGGCACCTGTAATAGGTTGCCAGAGCAAATCTTCATTTGTTCTCCTAGTGTTAATTTGATCTCATTTAGCTTTTGACCACTTTTTTTCCAAACTGGGAATAAGAGTAGATTATGTTGGGCAAAAAGAGTGCAGAAAAGATTTTATCAAGTGGATTGCACAGCCAATATGTAACAATTCACACAAAATCTGTACTTATTCCCTTGCCATGCCATTCAATAAATATCTGTTCCCCTTGCAAAAAACAAAGACAGTGCAGACAATCTTAATAACAGGGATACTTTTGAATGGAGTACATTTTTTCTAGTTATTTTTCTAGTATTTTTCAAAATTCTGTGCAAAAAGGAACAGATTCAGGTCCAGGAACTTTTCCAGGATACTGTAGTACACACTTAGCATGGTAAGAATATTTCATCATATCTGAAAAATGGTCAAATACATGCTGCTTTGCTGTTGACGAATTCCGACAAGAAGAAATTTGGATTAATGAGAACCGTCACATTTATTCTGCACAGAAAATTCATGTATAATCTGCAATATTTTTCTATATTTCTATATTTTAAATAATTATTTGTGCAAAAGCTCCATGTATACATTCTGTGCAAAATAACCTCCCAAACTGAGAATTGTCTGAAAACTGTGGCTTTCTTGCAGGAGGAAGGGGTTGCTAACATTTTTTGTTACATCCCTTAAGAATGAAATGAGGGAAGATTTAAATTTGTGTTGTGTGGGTTGCTGTCGTCTATTAGTCTGTTGCATTTTTTTAAAAAAATCTTTCTTTACAAAACCCCACATTTCTGATGCATACTTTTCCCACACTGGGATTTAAGGGCTTTCTCCTGTTTTAAAACTGTTTACAGGTTGAGTTTAAAACCCCCTGTCCAAATGGCCATTCTTAAACCCATGTGTATATCAGGTAGTCAACTGGTGGCAAACCTACTGGATAAAATACAGGAATATATCATGTAATTCAAAGATTTCACATTTCTCTTCTCACAAAGCACTAGACTTTATAATTTTTCTCCTGGCAGGCTATTTAAAATGACCAATGTGAAAGCATACAAAAAACAGGGGGATGCTTTCCCCTAATTTGAGGAGAAGATTATTTTCTCTCCCCCCCCCCCCCCGCGCTTTCACATTTCTTTTCAATACTGACAAAAGACAGTACTTATTCACACAGTGCATAATTCATTTACTTTGTGTATTGCCACCAGATGTGGTCTTTAAAAGATCCTGTTTCAACAGTTCTTGCCCATATTTTTGTTGTTAACTAACTAACGACATGCATATTCAGATTAGAGCTTTGGAAAAGTTACTTTTGTGGACAACAACTCCCCAAATCTTCCAGGCATTGCAGCTACTCCAAGAAAAGGGAACATTTCCAAACTCTGTTTTAGAAACAGGATGACCCTGTTTCTACTGGGGGAAGTTATGAGAGCGGTCTGGTGCCCTTGTAATTTAGGGGTCATTGTGGTGGTGGTAGTGGTGGTGGTATCTCTTAGCCTTTGTAAGGAAGAGTGGAGTAGAATCTTACCCTTTCCAGTAGGTTCAGACAAAAAATAAATCACTGCATTGTTTGTTCCTCCTTGTAAATAACTTTATCATTTGTACTACACTCTGAAGTTGCTGGTGCTTTATTTTTCATTTATAAAATGTTGGAGGGTATGCATCTTGTAATTCTGAAAGATGTAAATAACTAGTTTACATAAACCTCTTACAAGTTCTTGACATGTGAGCAATCTTGTGTCTGCTTAAAATGTTGCATGTTATACCTTTGGAGAATTGCATGTGGTGTGATTTCAACCTTGGTTCATTTGTTACCTCATGCAAAAGCAAATCATTTCAGGAATGTTTTCCCTGTTTGTGAAACATTACACTTTGGAATTTCATTCAGGAAAATTAGTTTTCACAGAATACACATGTATGTTCTCCACAGAAGATGCGTTTTGAGGCAACAAATGTGTTTCCTGCACAAAAAGCAGTATTTCTCCACTGAAAATACATAATTTCCATTATAGTAGGAGAACTATACAGTACCCATAAAGACATTCTGAGTGTAGCTGCATTTACCAAATGGCCAAAATGTCATAATCTGACTAATTCCCAGAAAGCGTGACAACATTGTACAGCTAGTTGTCATTGGTTATATCAAGGTAAAGCAAAAATGGGAATGAGAATAGTATCTTCCAATTCTTGTTCTCAGTTAGTACCAGTTTCAGAAAGTTTTGTCAGTAAAGAAAAAAGCCTACAAGCATTTTGGACTTCAGCTTTCAAAATTCCTGAGCATTAGACAAGCTTGCTAGGGCTTCTGGGAGTTAGAGTTGCAAACACCTGGAGAGCCACAGGTTGTGCATCACTGTGCTAGAGCATGGAAGAGTTCCCTTTTGGCCTACAATTCCCATAATTGTCCAGGTAGCAGGTCCAGCAACAAACTAGCATTGAATATCCATTATGTCTTACTTATTCATCTTATGCATTATTGCCCAGTTCTGTCTGGGAGAGTTCTAGGAGAGAAAGATGATAGATCTCACAATGTCTCGTTGCTTCTAGACCACATAGAAATTGCCGCAGGCAAATAAGATTAGTGGAAATATACATAGTAAGAGAATGCCAGCAAGAACTTAGCAGAAGTCATGTCATTCTTAAAAAATAGATTGAAGTGGAGAGATTCCTCCTCTGTATTCTCCCAGCCTGATTGCAAAACAGTATAATACGTCAGGAATATTTGATCAATCAAGGACAAATGTAAGTGATCAGTGGTGACAGTGCACACATTTAACTGATTATGGTTTAACTTTCCAGCCAAACTATTTGTGTAACCTCATTGCCCAACATTAGCAGTAAAGCATATGTAGCAAGCTCTAAATGTTATTTTGCAGTTGGGTTTTTTTTTTTTTTGCTTTCTGAGCCACATTCTTCATATGGAAACTCTTACTTTGCATCAAATCTGACAAAAATAAATACATTCAAAATAATCAAAGTCCATGACATTGCTCAATTGGAGCAATTTCTGAAAATACTTGAAAATGCTTTTTTATTAAAAAGTTTGATAGCATGAGAGAAATAACTGAAACAGAATTCCAAGCAGTGGGTTATACTAGCTTAATAATATAAGTATATTTTATTCCATTTATATACATAATTTATTATATTATATAACACTATGTAATAAAATTTGAAAAAATCTGTTCCTGGATTGAAAGTGTTATTCCTGTTTATTTTGTGCGGTACTTACTTTAAAAGTAGTTGTTGTACTTTAGAAACTTCATTTTTTTGTGACTGGCACAAACTATGTTGAATTAGTTGAGACTTGATGAGATATTCATTGAAAAACTGTAGCAAAAGAATTTCTTAATATAATGCCTTTGAAATCTGAATGAAAATGAAATCAAATGAAACATGCAGGGCTTAGGGCTATGGCACAGGGAGTTGAAGGGCTGTAGCTTGTCCTGCTCTGGGATTCTCAGATCTGAGACTATAGCATCAATTACTTATAATGATTGGCTATGCTGTCTGTTAAGCATATTTGTAGTGTAGTGTCAAAGGAGCCAAGATTGATTTCAATCCTGCTGCTCTTTTAGGACCTGCACAGAGGTAGAATTACACTACCAATGGCACTTCCACTACCATTTTGACCACCCTAGTGTAGTAGTGATAGGCCAAAAGCCATGGGAAAGTTAAGTCTAGATGTCACATAATGATTTGAACTCACAAGCCAGTTCTTTGGCTACTGATGTCCAGCCACAATATCTTATAGATGTTGTGTGCCTTCAAAGCATTGCCAACCCTAAGGTGGTCTTGTCATATGGTATTTAAATGTTTCATGTGTTGTGGTTGTTGTTTATAGTTGTAATGATTTTGATCTATTGTTATATGTGATGTTTTATACATGCAAGGCATTGAATTTTGCTGTGGATTAACTTGTGAACTGCTTTGAATTCCCCCAGGAGTGAGAAAAGCAGTATGTAAAATAAATAAACAAATAAATAAATAAATATTCTTGGTAAAATTTGTTCAGAGAGGTTTTCCTTTTACCTTTCTCTGACAGTGTATGATATGTCCTAGATAACCCACTGTGTTTGCACTGTTGAGTGAAGATTTGAATCCTGGTCTCCAGAGGCATAATCCAAGGCTCAAACCATTGCAAGACTCATGAGTTAAACACAGAATGCCTCAGGAAGCCATTATCTTGACCTTAACACTCCTATAACACATCTGGATTTTTAAATTTGTTTTTAAAGTCTTACAAATTATTATTTTAATATAGCAATGTATACTTTAGTAATATTATCATGATCTTATCATATACTACACTTAAAAACTATAACTTCTATTTTATTTATATCTATATTTTAATCACATTTAGAGCTTCCTTGGCCCCACCATATTGAGTCATAAGGCCAAGAGAAGCATATTAAATGAGTAAAAGCCCTTTTAATGAAATCATATGAATGATTTCCATAAGAGTACCTGGAATAGCACAGGAGGTACACTTTCTCCTTCCTTTTATGAAGGTGCTGTTCCCATATTGCAAGCGGAATGCCAGCACAAATTATTTAGGTTTCATGACAGCTGGTTTTCAATACCTTAGCTCACCTATCTCTGTACAATATGGGCTAATAAAGTTGAACCAGCAACAATGGATTTCTTTTCAGCGCAGAGGGTTTAGCTGTAAAAACCTTTGTTTGTTTTGCTGAATAAACCTGTTCAGACACTGAGTGGATATAAATCTCTCTCTACTAAGTACTGGAGATTCAAAGAAGATGGATGTCTTAGTTTCTTTCAGATATCATGAACTGGAAAACTAGCCTTTATTGGTCTTCATTGTTGTTTCTGTAGATGGGATAGTTTCAGAGGTTGAGACGATATATTCCTCAAAGGCTTTCCTGTATTTTGGAAGATGGATGTCTTCTACTTGTGCAATGGCACAGGTTGAAAAAGAATACCAGAGTAAAATTCAGATTTTAGAAACTTGGAAGAGAAGAGGCTGTTTATTATGTACTTCTTGTTGGGTTTCATGGCCTTATCATACAGGCCCTTGCTTCGGGGTGAATCCATAGGCTCCTGGCGAGGGGCATGGAGATGCTGCTGCTCCACTCTCCACATCCTCCACCTTACTTTCTCCCTCATACCATGGGGGGAAGTGTTGCTGTCCATCTTTCCCCCATTGAAGGGAACATGGGAAGGATCCTGTGATGCTGCTGTGGTGATAATGTGCGCAGCTTTACCTTCCTTTTTGGCACAGAGCCTGCCCTGAAGTCTGTGCCATTAAGGGAGATGAAGCAGCGTACGATGGGCAAATCAGACCATCTGAGGTAATTAGTTATGGAAGTGAATTGAAGAATTACAGAAATTTCAATAATGCTACACCAGGTTCCCAGTAAAAAAAAAAAGAGACCTCCACTGGGATTGCCGTTTCCCCAATGATTTGTTCAGAGTTTGGAAATGTTACCTATTATATTTCTCAGGATCCTTCACCCAGCATGGCCACAGGCCATCTTGACTGGGGAATTCTGGGAATCATAATCCAAAATTCTCCCCTAATTTCAGGGACATTCTTGGGCATTGGAAAGAGTGAGGAGTGGTGACAGAGGTAGTTTCCAAGACCAAACTGAACAGGTTGACTTAATTTGATCTTACCAGCCTGCATTCTAGATATCTTGATTGATTTTGTAAGTGAGACAGTTTGATTGCATGCAACACTTCTAAGGACAAGCATCTCATCTCCATAAGAAAAGTGGTCTGGTTCAGATGCGTTCATGTCTACAGTAGGAAGTGCCCACTGCCCATGGTGAGGGAAAGGATTATGATCCTTCTTGGACTTTGGAAAAAATATTTTTTATAGTTCTAAAAGCAATTTTTCCAATTTTCTTCTACAATTGTAAAAACACATAATTGTATTATGGCCTAAATAACATATTCATGGTCATCTCAGTGTAAGGGATTCTGCACTAGCAAGGAATATAGTACTCATTCCTGTGAATAAGGTTGTCAGTGTATAGGTATAGAAAGTAGGCCTATGCCTATGATCAGAAGCTTGGTAATAAAGTTATTATTCGTGCGTGTTTAATTTTTTAGCTGTAAAAATGTAATACGGAATAATACTCTGCTGTCTTTAACTATTTAAATTACTAAAAAATAAGACTTGGACCATGATTTGTAGCAAGCTGTAAAATTTGCTTAGGATACAGTGTCACTGAGCTTATTGAAACTAATTTTTGGATAACTATATATGTGTAATCTTCTCCAATCATATAATGCCCTTTCATATTTTATAGACCAGACAGGAAGCTGCCTAATATTGACTCACAGATCCTTTAACTCAGAATTTAACCATCAGCATTTGTCCAGGATTTCAGGCAGATTTTCTATTTGAAAATTCTAGTATTTGCTTGTAGTTACCTAGCAAATAGTAACAAAGCCTAATCCTGTGTTGCTTCCAAAACCAGGTGAGTTCAGGGTATTATGAGGGCAAACAAATTTTACTGATGAAAAATAAATTGCTCAGGTGACAAACGGCTAGGGAGAATCATGTGAAATATACCTTGTTTTATACTGGAATGTCTTTGTTAGAGTAATCTTCAGTTTTGTGCAAACACTATTTCATTGATGCTTTTTAGAAACAGCTATCCCTGCACATAATAAAGACTAGTCTTTGCCCTGAGATGTTTTCAATTGGTGGAATAGCTGCCAAATTAATTTTGGCACAATTCCCTAAAGCTCACACTTTTCATTTTTTTTCCTTGCGAACTACTGAGGTCAGTATTGACATATCCCATATCATGGTAAAGAATGTGTTTTATAGCTACCCCCCTTTTTTTCTTTTTCTTTTTTTTTTTAAAGAAGAACCTGGAAATACAGTGAAGCTTTATCCATAGATAGGCCAGTCACAGACAGTGTACTTAGTAGGGATTGCTTCGGAAAGGCTCCATATCAATTTGTTGATTTTTGATTAAGAAATATTATTATTTTGTTGTTCAGAGTCACTGATGAGGATGAAAGCACAACAACAATAGATTGATGTTCTAGAATAAACTACTCTGGTTGTAATTGGGTCCTTTGTCAAGGTGGTGGAAAAATAGCATTATAGTCTGTCAATATACAATATGCACATATGAGACAAACATTCAATGCCCTTTACACACTGTGAACAGTAAATAAATAATAAACAACATTAAACACAGACAAAGGTAAAGGCCTCCTCCTTTTTTCCACCTCCAGCACCTGGAGGTGATGCTCAACTCCAGCCATGGGGAAGTGCTCTTGTTCCATTTTTCCATGCCAAGGAGCCTGTTGTCCACAGACAACACCCAAAGATAACACCTTAAACTTTTTACATAACAAAACATTGGTGGCTAACAATGGAATAACACAAAGAGCTGGGTTAAATAAGTACCATTTTATTTCATCTATCTTCTGTTTAAGAGAATTGGACTTGAAAAGAGCAAGGGGGTGGGGAATTAACCTGATGTGGATTAAGCTGAGGCCAGGTGTCTACACAAGATTAACTTCTCAGCCTTTCCTTGGATAAAACACCTAAAGCCTAAGGGCAGTCCAGCTACTCAATGGAAACTAAACCCAGGCTCCTCACACAAAGGCCCAGGGCCATAAAACTGAGAGTGAAGCCCCCAGATCTGTCTCAATGTAGACGTTTTCCTACTCCCCCACATTGCAGGACCTAGAAACAAACACTGTTCAACAACAGTGTGCCAGGGTGTATACGTACACTCAAATTTTTCTCTTCTATCTGACAAGATGAACACTGCCACACGTAGTTGATCATTCTAGTTCAGGAATGGGCAAACTTTTTTTGTGTGGGCAACATCATGGGCCAGGCCAGGGCAGGTGAGATGGGCTGGGTGGGAGGTATGGGAGTGAGTGGAGGAGGAGGATAAGGGCAGTTGCCACAGAAGGGGAGACTGAGTGGGGACGTGGTTGGCATGAGGACAGTTGGTGTAGGGACAGTTGGCAGGGAATGAAGCCAAGGGGTGATTGGCATGGGCGGGGGGAGGGTCCTCCTTTTAGTCTAGAGACATTACAACCCAATACAGCCCCAGGCTGAGAGGAGAAGGGGACATGCAACTCTGGAGAGCTTTTGCCAGCCACGTGTCTGCCTCAGCCCTCCACTGCAGCTGCATAATGAGAGGAGGACTGAGGCAGACAAGGGCCAGGGGAAAGAGCCCAAGGTGCTGCATCTGACCCATGGGCCTGGGATTGCCTGTGCTTGTTCTAGTTCCTCGAATACAGTATGGAGTAGGCAAAAATACCAGGTAAAGGGGAGAAAATTCTCACCCAACCCCAAAGCAATCAGAAAACCCATACTGAACTGGGGGCAGGAGGATGGGCTGTGCAACAAGAGGTATGTGAGTGGTGATGAGCCTGTCTTAAGTAGTCCAACACCTCATCTCCATCACATGCTGCATTCTGGCATCTCAATACCTTATGGCACATGGCAGGCCTCATGCTTTCTGATCAAAATAGTACCCTCCTTGCATAATTCATGGTGCATCCTCCCCTATCAAAAGTACTCTGCCACTCATATGTTGTGGGTATGTTGTTCCCTATGTTCCAGTTATTGTAGAGAGAACATTTCTTGAAAATTTCAGAGACCTTATTAACTGGTAAAGCAATTAGCTGAGATACTAAGTTTAATTACTTAAAATTGATTTGTGTTTAAGCACTTCCATTTATTTTTGCAGAATATAATTTCTATAATTTCAATCTCTGAAATTGGTTGTTTATTTGTTTGTTTCCTCCTTTCTAGATTGAAGAGGATACGTGGCAGAAATACTACCTGGAAGGAGTTGCTAATGAAATGTATACAGAGTATCTTTCTAGTGCCTTTGTTGGTCTGTCATTCCCTGCTGTTTGTGAGTAAGTAGCACTACAATTATTGACTTCTACCCTTCTTCATCCTCTGTAATAGCAACAAAAGTACCTTTCCCCTAATTTCTCCAAATACTGTGAACTGAAATTCAGAAAAAGAACAGTAATTATTCTTGTACCCCACTCCATCTCCCCGGGGAGGCTTGGAGCAGCTTACAGATGGCACATGAGTCCAGACAGCCATATATCCCAGTTCAAAGCAGATAATGTGGGATTTTATTCAGCTGTGTGGAAGGGGCCTCAGTAACCCCTTCATTACCCCTTTTGTCCTTTTACAGTATGCTTCTTGCATGAATGATTATATAGTTATGCCAATAATCCTCTCATGCCTTCACCAAATTTAGGGAAATTCTCTTAAAACATATAGCTCTATTTAGACGTATTTAGTATTTGACTCAAAGAAAGGAGCTATGGCATGTTTAAAAGGCTGGTATTTTTGCACCCGTTTTATGGTTGAACAGTGGCATCACTAGGATTTGGTGTCATTCAGTGTGGTAACTTGGGGTGTCACCTACATGAATTCAAGGTGTTATCCTCTCCTGTACCAGAACATACAGCATTCCTAATAATGTTTTTGTACTCATTATACCCGTAAATCATCATTCCTACATATCACTGAATGACTTCATTTAATTAGGCAATAATGAAAATCTGAACAGAGTGCCTGCACATTAGAAGTTTCAAAACAAACTAGCATAGAGTTACAGTCTTGCAAATCTACCAATAGAGCACATGCAAGGTTGGTATGGAAAATGTTTTTATGGTTATAATTATAGGGATATTTTTACAAGAAAAATAACACATTTCTGCTGAAACAGTACACACACATTTTCTGAATGGCAATTTTGCTGTCCCTCCCACTGATGGTGTCAACCAGTATGGCCTGCAACCCTCACACCTTCCTAGTGGTGTCACTGGAATTGAATCTAACCAACAGAATGAAAACAATGAATGGCATGTTTGGCAAACATTTCTCACAAGCAATATTATTTTAAACGGTCTAGCATGGTGGAAATTCATCTCAAGATTTAACTTCATTTTACTTACGCAACACTTTAAAATGAATGTCATTTCTGTTACTGGAATAAACATAATAATAATAATAATAATAATAATAATAATAATAATAATAATTTATTTATACCCCGCCACCATCTCCCCAAGGGGACTCGGGCGGCTTACATGAGGCCAAGCCCAACAAAAATACATCAGTAAAAACAAAAAAGCAAACAAGCAAGTAAAACACAATACAAATATTCAAAATAACATATAAGCAGTAACACACAAGAAATTTAAAACACTGTGGGCAGGGCCAGATGTAGTAGATTAAAAATTTTAAAACACTGGGGGTGAACAGAAATAGGGTATGTCTAAACAGGGGGATTTTAGATGGTAATTTATGGATATCAATCCAATGGGTAGATAAAATGCTTCAGAGGACATATTGCAGCAAACATGCATCTTTGGTAGACTAAAGACAACAAATTATCAATGGCTGAACATTATCTGCAGACAAGAAAGGCAGAAAAACATTGGTTTCTAATATACAACAGTCATCTCAGTACTATTAATGCATACTCGGACAATGTATTACTATCACTCAGAATGCATTCAATAAAATTGTCAAACTGCACCTGTTGTCATCATCATATAACCTCTGAAATGAAAAGTGCCAGGTTTATCTCATATAATAAATCTTTTAAATGTGTTTCCAATGGAAAACAAAAGCATTCCTCAGTGTGCTGTTCCAAAAACCATTCTTTAGTGTCTTAATTCAGAGGAGGCGACATGTTATCAAGATATTAAATATTGGTTTTTGGAAACGTTGCCTTGTGAAAATTGAATTTATTTCCTGCTTTCATAGATGCATATTTTTTAAAGTTTTGACCAACTTCTCTTTTAATAACAGTCACAATGTTGTAACTGATTTAAAGAGTACCAAATCACCCCAGTAAAACCCCAGTTATTGTTTATCTTTACAGAACAAATATAAAATTTGCAGACGTGTGTAAAACTATTGAAAATATTCAGCTTCAAATAGGTTGCAGTATCTCCTTATTGGTTGTATGAGTACATTCAGGCAAAGTTATCTGGATGTCATCCCTGTGGAGCCTCAAACATGTTCTTCCCACTCGAGCGCACTAAAGCCATAGGTGCTAAAGCTCATGGGCCCACCAGATACTATTGGCTCATTCCATATATTTAAATGTCTGCCCTGCAACAGTTGGGAAGAGACTTATTTCCTGGTCTCAAACTATTCTCAGTTGTGGAACTGCTAAGAAATACTCCAGGCTTCAAAAACATATTGACATTATTGACAGTTAATTTGCTTAGAACAGCAACTAGTCTTAAAGTGGTATCCATGTTTGTGGCTCATATTTTTAATGTCTTGGAGCTATAGCTCAGACACACAGACAGCCACCTTTTTCCTCTTCTTTCTCCTCTTCCTTCTCTTTTCATGGAACAGATATTAAGGCTCTGAACACAGTTCATTTTATCTGTGCAATATATCCAATGACCAAATTCTATAACCAACTTATGCTATGGGCCAGGGGGCAACCACTGCATGTAATGTGTCCAGATCAAAAAGCTATATCATACTAAGGTTAACACAGATGTAGATAGGACATCAGGGCATTTGTGTACGTTGCTAAAATAAGTACAAGGTATAGAGACACATGAGAAGGAGCCAGATGAGTGTATTCAGTCTGACATATACTGACATATACTGCCATATCTGGGTTGCTAGGAAGGGAATGCCCAGAAAGGTGCATAGGTGACAGTATATAGTTGGGGCAACAACTGGAATCCAAGAAAAGGGAAATATGGCTACACTCACCCACACACACACACTTTGATTCCTGTTTCCTATTATTTTCTTGTCGGAAGTTGATGGTCAATAGAATAGGCTAAACTTTTGTATATTGAACTGTTCTCCAAAGTTCCACAAATACTATAGGTCTGAGCAGTTTTGACTGTGGCACAGTAGCTATGGTAAGTCTTCCATGTTCTTAGGATCTGAATTACCACTCAAAAGTAGATTCTTAAAAATATAGTGAGAATAAAAGAGATAACTTGTTTTCAGATATATAAAATGCCTGATCATAATAAACTTTTAGAAAAGAGAAAGTACCAAAGTACACTTACATGACATACATTGAATTTATCCAAAATAATTGACATTGGTCTCCATGAGAATCGAGAAAAATAACACCTTTTCATTTGCAGATATATTTTTCTTTTAAAATTAAAGAGGCAGACATCAAATATATTTCCATTTAGTTGCAAAAAAATCACCAGACTTTATGTTTTTAGAATGAGTTTCTTATTTTTACATAATTAGTTATTTTGGTATAACATATTTTTATATAGTCTTTTTAAAAATCCAGTTTATGTGCCTTATGTATAACTTACATTTTTCATCACATAGATGTTTCCATGCAAATTTGTAGACACAGACAATAAATAATTGGAGGCCAGAGGTCCTTGGAACTCCTTGAGCTTCTTGTGGCTCAGCTTTGGCCATTTTATTTTCACAACACATTCTGCCTTCCAAGTCTAGTTCCTTACTTTGGTACAATAGTGAAGAAAAATGCATGAAATATAAATTCAGAAATTAGTTTTCTAATTATTCCAGGGCTTGAATTCAATTCTGCCAGTGAATAAAATTGAGTTGTGGGTTAAGTGTTCAATGTCAGAATGGTTTTCAGTAAATTACAACAAAAAAGTGACTGGCTTATTAACAGATAATGTTAGCATTCCCTGTGGCTTCATATGAATCTTTGCAGAAAATGTCACTTGCTACACATAAAATCTGAAATGTTTCTTACAACATTTTTGGTTTGTAGCTAATTGTGCCTCATTGGGCACAATCCTATGAAGCATACTCCTGGGAACAGAGGCTCCAAGCTTCTCTCATTGATAAGACAGATGGGTTTCCATATGGTTCTTGAAAACATGTTTGTTATGCCTGTGTTGAGTCCACAGTTATCATTTGTATCACATGTCAGGCAGAATGATCAATAAATAAGAAGTCTTGAATGGCACATTCTTGAAGCATTTGATTACTTGGAATCTTAATTATCAGTTTTAATGATAATGTGATCCCTCTCATTTAAATAGATTAAAGTTCAATAGCAATTTTAATGTGATGTTGTGTATCACCCAACTTGGACCTCCATGAATGCTTTGGCTGCAGTTAGGACAGAGGCCTTTTAGGGCACTGAGAGATTTGGGCAGATATTCATTGAGCCCCCTTCCTTACGGCCAGTTGTGTGTAGTGGTTGGAGTATTAGAGAAAAATAGTTAGGGTTCTTGCCCCCCCCCCCATTCATCCATGGAAGTTTTTGGGTTATCACTTGACAGTCATTGACTTTCAGTCTAACTTTCCTTGCAGGGTTGTTGTGAAAATAAAATGGAGAGAAGAGGGATAAAGTGTAAACCCCCTCTAACTACTTGAAGGGTAAAAAGATGTATATACTATTCTTCATAGTAGTAATGGTCTGAGTATGTTTAGCTGCTACTGTCGATGCTGGTTATGACTATAATAGGAGTCCCTGGTGGCGCAGTGGGTTAAACCCCTGTGCCGGCAGGACCGAAGACCGACAGGTCGACAGGTCGCAGGTTTGAATTAGGGGAGAGCACAGATGAACTCCCTCTATCAGTTCCAGCTCCTCATGCGGGGACATGAGAGAAGCCTCCCACAAGGATGATAAAACATCAAAATATCCAGGCATCCCCTGCACAACGTCCTTGCAGATCACCAATTCTCTCACACCAGAAGTGACTTTCAGTTTCTCAAATCGCTCCAGATACAACCAAAAAAAAAATGGCCACAATGATCATCATGTCCATGGTGTCATGACAAAAGGACACTGCCATCAGTAGAGATACCACCCCACTTTATACTTATGGATTTCACCTTAATGGGACTTCCCTCCCTCCCACGCACACACTTTGTGGTTATGGAGCTCAAGTCTTTATAAAGAAAAAGTTGACAGAAAGTTGAAACAATGAAGCATTATTGTTTGAAAGGTAAGATAGTGGCCTCTGTCCTTCTACCCAGAGCTCCGACTTTGTGTCAAGCCCAGTGTTATTCCCATCATGGAAAAGTGTTGAGTCCATTCTAGATCATGAACATTCATGTTGGGTTCATTCTAGATTGAGAACATTTTCTCTTTTCCTCCCTTGAATGACACCTTGAATGACATCTTCAGAGGTTAACGTTACTTTGCTTTTACACCAAACACACACACATTTTATTTGGAACAAATAAGGACACAACTTTTATTGGTTACAACTCCATATAGGCTTGGCACACCCATAGGTCTAGCTATTTCAAGAGGTCTAGCTGTTTCAAGAAAATTGATTGATGATTGGTAAACTAAAAATACCCAGCCTGTTTGCGAAGTGACCACCAGAATGATAGGTATGTGATTCCCTAGGAGCTGATGTGATTGCTTGGTTTTCCTCTCACCAGGTGTGGGAAAGCAGATGTGCCCTCCCACCTTGGTGAGCACACATTTGGGTCTACATGCCAATTAGTAACTTAAAAGAGACCTCCCCTTTTAAGTTACTAATTGGCATGTAGACCCAAATGCCACCTCCTGGATTCCATGCCAAATTGACCAAAATTGAGACAAACAAGAGTACACAATCAGAACCACTTACATTAATAGTAATTTGTTAAATATGGTGCAGTAGAGGAAAGGTAGAAGAAATGAACCTTCAAAGGCAAGAGAGGCTTTAGCATTGGGGAGCTGATTTTATAGATCCTTATCCAACCAAAGTTAAGCTAACATCTGGACCTACCACTACCACCCAGTGACTTCAAATTCATTGTGTGAAGCTTTCTGCTTATTCTCCAAGGCTGTGCAAATTGCATAGGCATGTGGGAAGAAGAAAGGCACTTGAACTGTTACCTAGCATTCCAATACATCACCTAAAACAGCAAACCTGCCCTATAGTAAGTTTGCAGAGCACTCTTAGACAAGACATATTTGAAATGTGTGGATTTCCCTTACATTGACTATAGTGTATCTGTATACCTTTTTTTTAACACCACACCATTATTCGTGTCTCCTTTCCCAGTATTTATTTATTTATTTATTTACGGCATTTATATGCCGCCCTTCTCACCCCGAAGGGGACTCAGAGCGGCTTACAATATATATTTTCATACAATATATTATATTAATAACATAGTACAATATCAGTATATATTACTATATTTCACTATACCATTATATTGTAATATTATTAGTAATATTACATGTAATGTAAATATATAATTCTAATTATAATATTGAATTATTATTACTAGTATTATATTGTACTAAATTATAATATTATAAATATTATATGTATATACAATATACTATATTATATTATTAGTAAAGACAAGATGGAAGTGTCTTCTGCTCCCCTCTGTCTTCACTCTGGCCAGAGCAGCCGTTGGTGCCAGAAGGGGGAGGGGCCTCTCAAGTGATGATATAGGCAGAAGACAAGATGGCAGTGTCTTCTGCTCCCCTCTGTCTTCGCTCTATACACAGTATAAGCAATCCTCCATATCCATGGGTGCCGTATCAACTAAACATGACTTGAAAATATATAGAAAATATTTAGAAAACTCCAAAAAGCTGACCCTGATTTGCCACCCATCAACTCAATGCTGATGTGCAGTAACCTCGCACTATTCCCAGATCCTCAATTTCTCTCTCATTCAAGTTATTTGCCATTTTATATACTTGATACATTTTTTCTACTCTAATGTATTTACTAAAGCTTGAATATCCATGGATTTTTGGGGTTCATGGGTGTTCTGGACCAAACCCAGTATTAAAAAGCTAAAGGACTGGATCAGATAAAACTGCCTCATGACTCAGATTCAAGTCATAAGTCACTGCTTGGGTCTGAAAGTGTTTGATTCCAAAAATGAGAGTTTTATAATGGCGTATTAACTTAATCAAATGTGTCATAAATTCACTGAGGAAAGAACTACCATTGAATTCTCTCAATCTGCAAGTCATGGATTTTTTGTTTTGTGAAGTCCAGTCAATAAAGATTTTATAAAACTGTCTGTGGGGGCTACCTCATATTGGAATCCGAATTTAATGATACTATAAAGACAGCAGTTATTTGATTTTGCATGCCCTTGTCCTTTGATCATTGTGTTTTCCCCAGCCATGTGCCTTTGCTTTGTGCTGAAGATTCAGGTATAGAGAGGTGACCATCCTTTTATACATCAATATTGCCAAAATAAATCAGAGCGAAATCATATCCATATTCTTCAAGATTATAACAAGAGAAGAGAGAAAAATAGATATTTTATAGTTAACTCCTATAACTTTTAGTGAGCCAGCAATATAGTTTTTTATGTCTAATTTATGCAAGTGAAAGGCTCAGCCCCTCAAAAATATTTAATTAGAAGGAAGATTTATTTCCCTCTAGGTAGGTAGAAACAGTTGGCCCTGGCTTCTTTAGAGCCTTTGTTCATGAACATCTGTGTTCAAAATGCATTAATAAATTATGTTGGGAGGTTTTTTTTAAGGCAAAGTGATTAAGTCTCCCTGCAATATCATTTTCAGTTTTTGTGGATCTCAACATAGAACACGCATGTAAGGAAAGTGAACCAGTTGTTTATTAAAGCATTGTGTCACAGATAGTTTTGCCCTTCTATAAGTAAATCAATGTATTTACAAAATGGATCCTTTTTCTTAGACCCCATCTACCCTGCAAATGTAATCTGATTATCATATTGCAACTGTTAAGTTGTCATCTGGTGAGGTGCTAAGAAATCCTGTGTTTTTTTATAGGTTTCAAATTTCCTTTGGAAAAGGGAATGGCTTTTGAACACGTATTAACTGTTGACCCTGTATCAAGAAAGTAATGCACACAAAGCATTACTGCATTAAATAAAGCAAGACAGTTGCCAATAACATCACTATAACATGTCAATAACATGACTTTATTAATGCCTTAAGTCAACTTGGGAGTTGTTTGATGTGTTGTTTGTTTTGTTATTGTTGTGTGTCTTCAAGTCTTTTCCAACCTTTGGCAACCTTCTAAAACCCAACCCCAGAGTTTTCTTGGCAAGATGTGTTCAGAAGACACTTACCGTTGCCTTCCTCTGGTGCTGAGAGTGTGTGACTTGCCCAAGGTCATGTCTCACAAACTGCCTTGCCTCGTTTTTGAGGCTTCAAGAGTCAGATATAATGATATCGACAAATCACAGCTCTCAAATTTAACTGAGTGCAGTCAGAACCTTCTTATCATTTTCCAAGTGGAAAGTTCCTGGATGATTAAAAATAAAAGGTTATATCGAAAGTCTGACTTCTTATATCAATGATATGAATTATTTGATTAGACCATGTAATGTCACAGCCATGAAGGAATAGAAGCTGTCAACAGCTGTTTCTTGGCTAATTTATTTGCTGCTTTTAGACAGATATGGCTTTCCAACTGAAGATGCTTTAGAAGCAATGGTTTCATATACAGAGTGCACATTTCTCTTCTAGGTTAATGTGCAGCTTGGCTCCCATCCTGCCCCTCCCCATGGCAATTTTGAAGCCATTGCTTTCTTTCTGATAGCAGTGTTTCAAGTAAGAAAAAGGGGCTATTGGGGGGGGGGGGAGAGAAAGGCAATCCATCAATGTTTAACTGAATAAAGATGCTGAATGTTTTAGAATATTTATAGAAAGTAGCAAAGGATTACCTGAAATATGGAGAAGAGAGGTAAAATCGTACATTGAAATAAGTTTCAGTAGAAGAGTAAAAAATGGGAAGGCTTCACCTAATTCTGTAATGGAATGGGACCATTTTCTATATATGCAGAATATGGCTGCAATCCTGTACACACAAATTCATTGAACTCAATAGGGTACATTTCATAGTAGTCATCTACAGCAGAGTCACTAAAGCAATCTGATGTGGTGGACCAACACAGTTTTTCCAGAGTATGCCAGTGCCATAATTATGCTCATTGCCTACAACTGTTTCTTCCTGATAACATGTTGTGGAGTGGTTGCCAGTGGCTTTCAAACTAGAACTAGTCCACAGGCTATTACTTATGGTGCCAGGATGTACAGGATATTGACAAAATTATTCTTGAACACTTTGCAGATAAAATATGATTATCTGTTAGAATGGTAGAATTTAAAAATATTGCCATCTCTTTTTCATGCCTTCCTAACAGCTATAATGACAAAATACACATTTTTAACCATGTGGGGTTACTTTTTTTTCTTCTGCAGACTGGTTTTTGCGAAGCTAAAGCTCTTAATGATAGCCATAGAATACAAGTCGGAAAAACGGGAAAGCAGGTATGTGATTGTCTACAGAAACATTTTCATAATGCGCCTTTTGATTATTTGATCTGCTTATATTTCTTCCCTTTTTCCCCGAATGGTTTTTTTTATACCTATGAAAGCATTTTATATCTCAGTCATTATGGCATCATTACACTGGCTCATATAACCCAACCAAATGCCTGCAGCATCCCTCCTGTATCAGATTACCATGAAGTTGGTTAAAAGAAATTGTATTTTAATATCTACTGCTTTTAAGGCTCTTTAAAAATAAAAAACTGGAATTTACACATTGATAAGGAATGTAGTAAAAATTAGAACCAAACAAACAGAAGATAAGCAGAAGATCTTTATAATGTCATTCAACTACCTTGAGTACTTCCAAGTGAAATCTGTTTGTAGGAATGTTGCACACTACATCATGTGCAAAGCTTGGCTTGAAGTACCATATGGTTTGATTGTGCTATATAATGGCAATATTTTTCTTTGGCCCAACAAACAGAAAAATATTCTGTCATACAATTACAATAGGTTTTACATTGGCCCAACACAAAGCGACTCCAACGTCTGTTTTGCTTCGTGCCTCAAAGTGAAGAACTTTCCATGAAGATACAGACAAATAACACCTAATACAAAAGAACACAAAGAAATAGAAGGCACAAGATCTATAGGCACTGATAATAGTACAGCTATCTATTTGTAAATCCTCAAAAGCCATGCAACTCAATTTTATCTTTTCAGCCAATTCTAGCTATTTCTGTTGGATCTGCTGAACCTTCCATATGATTTTAAAGAAATGCCACTTTAAAAAAACAGGCTACTGAGGATTTATTATAATAGAAGTAATATATAATTAACTTGATCTATAAGATTTCAAACTGAGTGCAGCTATTATACATGTATGTGCTTTACATAAATATGGATGCGAAATATTCTGCACATATAAATATTTATAGTAAATATGGTGGTAAAACACCCCATTCTACCCCACAGGGAAACTTTTATAATAAATCATGTGACTTTTAGAATTTTCTGTTGCTTTCAACAAAAAGAGTAGATTTACCAGAATGGAAAAGGGGAGATGAGAAGAAGGACGAAGACCATACTGAATCAAACAAGATGTCTTTCAGTTTGGTTAGGAAACATTGCCCCACTAACAAAAATACAGAAATACTAAACAGAAACAATAATGAATGAATTACAAGTAGGCACCCAACACAAAATCATGACTTTTGAAACCCCAAACCCCAAACTTAATTGGTAAAATTATCTGAAGAAGAAAGTAAAAAAGAATTGGCACATTTTCTGATTTGATCTAATTGAGTTTGGACAGAGAAGCACATTCATCTCACAGTACTTTATACTCAGGAGTTCATAGTGTCATCATTTTGGACATAATGGTTTGATCTTATTGACAAATCTTGTGGTCTGCCACAACAAATAACATTAAACAGCAGTGCAATAGAGTGAGACTGAGGACAAGGAAAAAGACAGCAACACCAGAAAAATACTTACATTATGACATTGCGTTTTCTTCATGTGTGAAAAAATGGATGAAATTTTCAACACACACACAACCAAAGATGAAAGAAGGGAATGTATATTAGACATGAATAAGACACAGTGTCATTTGAAAAAGTATAAAGGGGGGAAAACACTTTATACTTTTTTACTTCTTGCCTTCCAGTTAACTTGATCTGTTCCCAGTTTTTTTCATCAGGTGATGTCTAAAGGTGTGTCTCCTCTAAAACTACAGTCTCGGGGAGATCCTAGGCCAGTTCCTTATGATAAGGCAATAGCTGATGGTATATATCAACATATTATTCTGTTCTTGGCATTGAACTGAACTGTTCAAGGTCCTGAATCTTTTCCCCAAATTAGTTAGTGCCTTAGTTAATTCCTTTAAAGTTTAAACCTCCAGTGATTTCCCTGTCCATCTGACATGTTCTGCCAGTATAGTAAAGGAAACCTATATGCCAAATTTGTTACACTTTCCAGACATTTTGAAGAAGATTTCCTTCCTTGCTTATTAAATTATTGATTGCCTGTACAATCCCTCTCAGTTTTTCTCCTGGGTGACATAGATAGCTTATTAAGCCACAAATTCTGTGCTGGCAGCAGGGAGAGGTGGGTGTTGTTGTTGGTGCAAAGCTAAACACTATAAATCCAACTTTTTTTTTTAGATCTGTATGTTATTTCAGATGTGTGTTGTATGTTGTCAAAGACTAATGTCTATTTCTGGAAGTGTTTTCAGTTCCATTTGAAGATGCACCTGAAATCATTATCCACACCGAGCAGTCTCATGACACATTAACAAATATAAAACAAATCCCTGAGTTATGCCAACTCAATAATCTTGGTCATCACTAGAATGGACAATAAAATAGCAACATTAAAAAAAATACTTCCATGATATTCATTTAATTTCTGCTCAATCATTTTCTTCTGATTCTTTGCAGTAATTCATTTATTTCACAAACACACCCAACATTTTTGGCTTCCTCTGTTCTTCCTTCCCTAGTAGATTGGGCAACTTGCCTAGCTTTTAAGTTTACCAGAAGTGAGATTATAAACTTCATAAGGAGCTGGGATAAATCCTTTACTATAAATATATTGTCTGAACTTCCATACTGATACATCATCTCAAAACTGAAGTTGGTGCAGACAACTTCATCACATGCAGTTTGGGCTCTGTTACCATGCTCTTTGGAAATGGAATCCCACAGAGACCATCCAATGATGTAAAGGACCATCTGGTGAGACTTTTGGGACTCAATTTTTGCAGTGTATGGAAACAGAGCCCAGACTTCATCTTCAAACTGAAAAATGAGAGAAAATGGGGAAAGACAGGGAAAGGATGTGGGTTGACTGGCCATCCCAGAAGACAGATCTCAGTCAGCAGTAAGGAACAAAGTAAGACAGTACCCACTGCTTTCCTCCCCTTTCCTCCCACTCATAGGATGAGATCCTTAAACAGCTGATATTGGCAAAAGCAAAACATTTGCAGAATGGCCAGTTGCTAAAAGTCATAGACTGCTATTGAATATCAATAGAGATACTAACACCGGTGAAGGATCTGTTAAAGTTTAATACATAAAGCTAAAGTGAATTTGGCTTGTTGTGTTAAAATTGTGCTTCTATTTACCTCTGTCCCAGTTAACCCCAATGCTGTCATGAAAGCAACAGGTAGTAGCAGCAACTTCTTCCACTCATTGGCACATGTTCTTTTCCCATTCTTGTTAGTAATCTTGAAAAATGCCAGCCATAACCTCTGGATTGATTGTATGAACTGTCAAACCAGATATCCATTGGCTATTACAATAGCATGCACAGAGTTATCCGCTGAGTGTCTGCTCGGTAGCATTTGCTGACATTGCTGTTATGTCAGTAGTAAGATATTCAGAAATGGACATGTTATCCACTAGAATTTTAAGCATATAAAGAATCTCCCTTCCCCATTCCATGACTTGAAATTAGCAATAAAGTTAAAAACCATAACTCATAGTAACAGTTATATCTCAAGCCTCATCTACACTGATCATATAATCCATTTTCTGAATGCAGATTATCTGCTTTAAACTGGATTATAAGTGTCTACACTGCCATACAATCCAGTTCAAAGCAGATAATCTGCATTCAGGAAATGGATTATATGGCAGTGTGGATGGGACCTAAGTTACCAAAGCAGACATGTTCCTGGGCTTTTATTTCTTTAATAGAAACTTTGATACCAGAGGCAGAAATAATAGAAATAATAGAAATAAGTTCCTATATCACACACACACAAAGAAGAGCAGATCAACATGTTTCAGCAAAGTATTTATTCAGAACTGACATTATGCAGATGTGAAATAAAACCACCAGGCCAAAGAAGTCTTATATCAGGAAATTAAACATTTGGACTCTTCTAGAAACCTCTTGAAAGTCCCTTCAATTGTTTCCCCTGATTTTTTTTCTTTCAACAACCTCCATTTTTATATGATTTTCATTTTATGGCCAAATTTATACCTTTATGATTTTTCATCATGCTAGGGTAGCTGTTTTTGCCTTTTCTTTCTGCTTTAGTGTTCACACATACATAGTAAATGATTTTGGTAAGCCTTGCCTGTTGTACATAATACTCTGAAAATTGAACTTCCCTGTTGTACATAAGCACATACTGCAACAAAAGGATCACCTGAAGCAGAATCCCATCCTTTAATTGTTCAAGGTTCCTTTCATTGTTTATTGAAGAAATGTTGCAGCAACCCATCACAGAAAATCCTTTTGCCAGCATTTCTTCATTCCAAAGAAAATGCTGCAAACCAAACCAAATACTGCAATAACACAAACCAAAAAAAAAAAATCAATCCTTCTAGCTAGACAAAAGACAAGAAGGAGGGCTAGTTTCCAGACTTTGTAAAAAGGTTTATTGAATCATGGCAGTTAAAATGGTGTCAAACCGCATTAATTCTCCAGTGTAAATTCACCCTTGAAGTCTGTGAGAACGAAAGAAGAAATAATTTGCTGCCCAAAGCAAAACTGACATATTCCAATTACTAGTGCTCCAGAAGGAAAGTTAATAAAATAAATAATCTTTTCATCAGTGAAATACAAAGCTGTCTACAAAATCATATCCTCTTTCTCCTCAAACACATGGTTTTGTTTTGTTTTTACTCTGAATCTCTTTCTTCGGCAGAGATAGTAAAAAAATGGAAAGAAAACCAACATTCTTCTCTCATGTACCCTATGTTTACTCCTCCGTTGAACTTTTTTCCCTGTCTCTCCATTTTATTTGTCCTTGTTCTCAGCAGAAAAACCTTTTCAAAACAACAACAAAAATGTTGGCGCCTTTGGAAGACTTGAAATAAAAGGTTTTTTTGCCTTTGTTTTGGTGTCAGTTATTTCCTATCAAAGTGTTTGATTTGCAATTTTTTTCTTGTCGTTTGCAGAAGCCGAAAGCGGTATGCCCTCTTCGTTACCTTTCCTTCCAACCTCAATCCTACCTTCACTCCTTCTAACTTCAGGACTAATCCCTTGCCAAGAATACAGGAAGATAACATCTTTGTCTATCTTTCTCTCGATATATATATATTTATGTATAGATAGATGCTAGATAGCTAGCTAGCTCATATAGATATATATATGAGCCCCCCACAGTTTCAAAGAGGAGAGAGAACTCTATAGCAACAGTTGGTTTCTTTGTTGTTTCTTGTGACTCATGCACTAACTTCTTTGCAGAATTATATATATATATATATCTACATACAAATGAAATTTAGATGCAAGGCTTTTATCCTGAGACACCATAAGTGTATAAGGTTATTACAGTAGGAGAACTGTCTCTCCTGTCCAGTACTCTTCCCTTTTGCTGTTTTTTGTACTTCCCTTTTGTTGCAACCGTGTCTGCAGCCTGTCTGTTAACTTTTGTGCTGCCTCATTGTCTTTGTATTCACACCTTTGCTGAGATGACACTCAAGTCCTTTCCCCAAACACTTTATGCACACTACCTCATGTCCTTCAGTTTATCCTCCCATAAATAGAATATAAATGCCTTGACTTTGTTTTAATTCGTCTATGTTTTGGAGATAACATTGGATCAGATCAACTGAAATACTGTAACACAGAGAAAGAACTCTATTGCTTTATCAATGCACACTTTGTAGCCTTTTGTACAACATACTCACATTCATTCAAACACAGGAGACCACTGACTGGATCTTTTGAATGAGTTGGCTTGTTTCCCACACTTTGTGTTGGCATGTTTTGCAGATTATTTTAATGTGCTCATATTCAGTACTTCATCTCAAACTTACATGCCATCCTGCTGTTGTGAATTGGAATTAAATAAGGCATGAATCACCAAATCCCATTTGTTTCTGTATCAGTTTACTACTGTAAATTTCTTGGTGTCCCCTTAAAACATTCTCATTCTTCGCATATGTTCATTTCCTCCTGAACTGTGTATCCTCAAACTTAGTTTCTCTCCCTTGTCCCCTCTCTTGTTTCTGTCTCATCATCCTGTGGACTGTGTAACATTCTTTCTTTTTAGTTCTTATCCTGTGGATTTGGAGTAGATACGTGAAAAAGAGAGGTGGCTTCCTGTCAGTTTGGCATTATTCATATGATCCAACTGCAGAGAAGTTACTGCAACACTTGGCATCTTCAAGGATCTGCAGTTGTTGCACCTCTTATTTGGTGTCTTGTTTACCAGTAATTTTAACATTGTGGTAAAGGCATGCTTAGCAGTGTGAAAAAAGTGTGTGGTTCAAAAAAGTACACTGGCTTGCTCCCAGAATAAGATGGCAGTGTTTTGGATTGGTCCTCATTAAGATGTTGTGTTAATCCAATCTGTGACCATGAGCAAAGATATTTTGAATGCTTTAGAACTGTTATATCCAGTGCTGTTTTAGTCCACACAAGTTTGGGAATGCCAAAGGAACGAATAATGCAATTTGCTGTCCATCGACATTTTTACTGAGGGCTTCAATTCCTGGGAGCAATGCTAGTGATTGTTTGCTTTGGTGATAATGAAGCTTCCGTATTCTACAGCTTTATCAAGTTGCCTTGTTGTCTGCATTTTTTTCAGTGTCTATAGTTATTTTTTTTCCTGTGTATGTGAAGATGTTGAATCTGTATTAACATTAGTCAGATAATCCCAGAAGAAAGAAGTGGTAGCTAGGAGACATACCATTATATATATATAAATGTTTGTGGCATGGCTCCCTCACTGTTTAACAATATGATCTGCCAAAATTCATGAGAGTAAAAAAAATAAAAGAACATCTATTATTCATGATCAAAATTAATTTGAAGGCGCTGTCTGCTACATTGCAACAGATCTTATCAAGGACTAAAAGGCACAGCCTAAAGACCAACAATCAACTTTTAAAAGTAAAAAAAAAAAACACCCTTGATCACTTTATTGAAACTTATCCCATGTCTCCTAAATTAAATATATCTATTGCAATATGATGGTGAATAATATATATATTGTTGTGATCATAATTGCATGGGGAATGGTACAGCACATCTAATCATGGAATTATTTGTGGGGGGGCGGGGGAGCATTTTGGTCACTCATTCCATCAAAACATTGATCTTTGTCCTATATAGGAGCTCAGGATATTATGCTTATAGGGAATAATATATATTTCTTGATTAACTTTATAAGCTTAGACATGCAACATATCTGGGCTTACATAATGGTTCAGCACTGATGATTTTTAATGACATCTCTGTTCCCACTACATCTTGATAAAGCCCAAGGTAGCTTATATGTGACTTCTAGGAGTCTTCTCTTCTGTTCCTGCAGTACAAGTTCAACAGATATTTGTGAATTCATTTTGGTTGTATTTGCCAGAAGTGGATTTACTGAATCCACAACTCATTTCAAAATGAGGGTGTTCTGGTGCATTCATCATAGTACCAGATTGAATAAAGTTTGCTTTCAAGCACATGTTCTATTGCCCATTAGTGTCCTCTCCCATAATAGCCATATTCAAGTGTTAGATTGCTCACATAAAAGTCTGGTTCAAGCCATATTCAAGTGTTAGATTGCTCACATACAAACTCATCTCCAAGTTTTCCATCCTCTCAGTTTCTAAATGGCCCACACTGAGCAGAGGAGCTAAGCTGCCATTTGCTTTACTGTAAATGGAAAACACAGTGCAATCATAACTCTAATGATATAATACTTCTGATTGTGTGGACACTTCTAATATTGCTCAAGTAAGTACACATGAAAGTTTCACTAGTTCTGAGAATCCCTTTGCCGAAAGCTGACAATAGGGGAAAAGATTGCTTGCAGGTGGCATCCTGTTGATAAGAGCTACAAGAAATTTGCCTCCTGCCTCCCTCCCTTCTGGGACTACTGCTCAATCCATGCTAAAATATTTAGTAAACCAAAATGCATTAAACTGAGATTATTAAACAATAGATAGCACTTAAAATAATTTGGAAAACAAGCACTTCATTATCCTGCATGCCTCAGAGCCACATCTTGAAAATTCAGTGGCAGGCCAATAGTGATGAAAAAAAACTTTTCTCATCAAGAGGCCAACACATAGTTGTGGAAGTAGAAATAACTGTTGCACATCTTATAACACATGAATGATTTCAATAGTTTTCTTTCTACTACATGAGAATAAACGTGCACCACACTTTCCATATTCACCCATCCTGTAGTACACCATGGGATTATTCTTTACAGCAGCATAAATAAAAGAAGAGTACATTTCTGTGCAGAATCACAACTCAGGCTATGAAAAACACCAAGAAGTCTGCACCAAAGTTTGCTGCTGTTATTCTTCTGACAGGTTCCCTTGAATCCTTATCTCATTAGAGAAATAAAGGGCAATACATCTCTGTTTCCATCTCTTTAAGTAACCTAAAGATAACAATGCCTTACAAGGTATTCCTGCTTTGCAAACTTTGGGGTCTAAATACTATGACTAGCAGGTTGGATTAATCTTTTTCACACAAAATGCTGAAGTGTGAAGATGATATAACATCAAATTAATACATTCTTCACCTCAGTGAAAAAGTTGCCAACTATAGTCTGCACTGATTAGCATTCTGCAACATATTTGAAAGTAACCCTACACAGAGCACATTATAATAGCCCTGAAAGATATTCAGACACGAATAGTTGTGTCAATGTCTGCCTTAATAAACCATACTTTCCCAGGAATTTCCAGACTTGGCAAACTGAGAAAAGTCAACTCAAACATGACTTAAAGGATGTGTTTGTTATAGCAAACACCACTGAAAGCCTGTGTGATCCACCTGACAATATCTGGTGTAATACATCAGCATTTCACACATGACCTGTCAGTGTAGAGTGAAAATATCAAAATCTGATTTTCTTGACTTTAACCACAGATTTTATCATTTAGCATTCAGGCTTCTCCAACTTTTACAGGACTTTTAAAAATACCTTATCCAACCTTCACAAAAGTTTATTGAATACAGCTGAAACAATAGTCATCTTTGACACACTGCGACAAAGGCTAGTTGATGTATCAGCTTTTTTCTGAATTTACCGCTGTCATTTTAAAAAGATCTTGGGTCATGTTTTGAGAATGATAGAAAGAAAGCGTTCAAGTAATTACAAAAATGTCACTTCCTGAGGAGATTCTCTTTCCTTTGGAGATTTCCCACTTTTGTTTCAAATTCCTTGGATGTTTCACCTGAAAAGAAATTTCAAAAATTGCCTTTTTAGGAAATATTTTTATTAAATGAAATGAAAAAATCCTGAAAAGTCTGGATTTTTTTCACCAGTTCCTTAAGGATATGCAGGGGTTGCGAGAGGAGGAAGATATTCCCAGCCCAAATTAAATGACCACTTAAACGTGTGTGTTCTATGTGGATCCCATGCAGAGATGAGATTTAGTGTCTTTTATAGAAAGTCTTTCACTTTTTTACCTTAGGAAGAACTTCCAGATTTGAAATTTGCTTCAGGTGAAATATAGTGGCAACTCTGATTCTACTCAATTGCTCAGTAAGAAGTAAACCTTGTTTTCCCTTCCAGGGTTTTGGCCAATTAATGTTAAGTTGCTGATATGATTGACAAGTAACTGAAGTACAGTTGTCATGTTTTGGTTTCCTCTTTTGCATGTATTGATCTTTGAAAAGATGTGGACAGATTTATATGCTTCTGTCCCTTGTCAATTATAACAGTCATTTTGCTTTTCCTAGATACAGTTACTAGTTATATTTGCTGCAGTAAACCTGAAACCAGTTTCCGCTCACCAGTGGAGCTTCTAGCCCCATAATGGATTGTGAAATTTGTTTACAGTATTCCAAACAAACAATATAGTAGTAGATGATGGCAGCAGAGTAATGTAAGAGGCTTTAATTGCTATGGGAGGATAATGCTAGGAAGCTATACCTTACATTGTTTGTGCCATGTGTTCATACGTATTGTGCTTTAATTGTCTCATCCCTTAAAATATGTTTTCTGCTAAGTCCAAATCAATTCCAGCTGCTGGCGGTGTTTGTCACCTACAAGTATTGCATGGATGTTAACTCTCCTCTGACTTAACAAAAATGAAGTGACAGAATAGCACTTTCTTTAGAAGCTGTATTAAACTACTTGGAAAATTGTGACACTTTACCACAAGAAAGGGATAGGATCCAAAACAGTTTAGACGATCAATTTGGAGGGGAATCATTTGAGTTGACAGAATAGCATCTGTTAAGTTTCACAGAGCTGCATAAAAGAAGGAAAAAGTTATTGAAGAAAACAGGCTATTCTAGGAACACAAAAGCCCCACTATAGTAATTAACAAGTACTTTCTCATCCGCTGGCTTGTTTTTTTCCCTTCAGCAATAAAACATTTCCCCAGTACTTCACAGGAAAAAAAAACAAACCTTTCTTATGTTTGAAGTTGATTAGCACATCATGGTGCTGTTGCTTGCTTCTTCTATTTATGAAAAAATGCTTAGGGTACACCTTCATCCTAATACATTCCTAGAAAGTTCTACACTAAGAATAGAAAGCCTGACTTCCTGGGAAAGAATTGGGGCAAAAGCAGTAAGGCTGTTCATGAAATTCCTATGGTCATCAGAAAACTAGCTCACAACCCCATGATAAGTCGTCCACCCATTACAGTTATTAATACACCAACTCCTCCCTCTCTTTAATACCTCTCCTCTATAGCTGCCATAATGAGTAATTCCTACAAGATATTGTGCATAGGAAATACATATACCTTTTATGAATTGGCAACTTCACATGGATATTTTCAACTGCCTAGTAATGTGGTTGTATTTGTCCGGCTGTGGTCCAGAAAAATGTATTCCTTCTTAAGATGTCAAATCTGGTGTTCAAATTGAGATATAATTTAACATTGGCTCTGAGATACAACTATTTTACCAAATGTATACATTCAACCTTCACAGCATAATAAGTTGACCTTTTGGTAAATAGCTGTCTATCTTAACCATACATCTTTAAGCCTTGTGTAGTTCCATCACTGGATCCAGATCCCTTGGACCTAGCATTTTTGGTGGTACTAATCACCAGAAGTCAACAACATTACATTGTGATAGTCATGCTTCATATTTACAAAGGCCAGTTCACATAATGGAATCAATTTTTAAAAACCCACCCCACCTTCAAATTTAGAGAATTTTATTTTTCAGAAAGAATGAAAAATCTTTTTTCATCCATTGCAAAGAGGCTTTGGGGTAGAGGAATTATTAACTATCACACTGTTTTGTTTTTTTTTTACATTTTCTCCAGCAATAGTAATGGTTGTCTTGTACCATTCCCCTTGAGTATATATGTGTATTGTACTGTACATAATATGCTAGAGATATAGGGGTCCCATTAATATTACCTTGTTTTACTATAAATTGTAAAATACTTTAAAAGAGAACTTCTCCAAGTGTTTCCTTGGGATTTTTTTGGGTAGAATTTGGGTTTTTGTGTGTATGTGTGTGTGATTTAAATTATACACCCACTAAAATGAGAAGTGGGGGCTAGTAATATTTCCCATTGCCTCTGCGAGTGTTTTTTTTTAATGTTGGATCATTGTTTAGATGTGAAATATTTTAAAAAATAGCTTTTAGTTCTTTTCTTTTTAAGATTTCTGCAAATAATGGGCCCCCTATAACAAAACAAAGAAAATTTGTCTGTTTAATTTTATACACTGAAAAATACAATGAACTCATTGCATTATCTTCTTGGTTTTTGTTTGTTTGTTGTTTTGTTTCATTTTACCGGACAGTATATTAATCAATCCTGGAAATCATGTGAAGATTCAAGAGGGCACTTTAGGATTCTTTATTGCAAGTGATGCCAAAGAAGTAAAAAGGTAATGCTGTGTGTTTTATTTTCTAAACATGTTTTACCTGTTAATAGTATTGATTGTGATAATGAATATTGGTGTTACTTACACAAGTGAAAAAAATGTGTGCTACCTTGTGTTTTCCTGCTCTGTACCGACCATGTTAATGCCACACACACCCTTGTTAATTAAAGTGAGAGCGACATTACTAGATACACATTTCCTCTGTGTGACTTGACTTCAGTGTTAAAAGGTGATCTTGCAATGATCATGTCTATTATACATTGCATTATTTCTGGCCACATGACCAGCAAATCCATCCCCACCCCATCCATGCAAATATCCAAATATATATATCTCCACATGCCATTATCTACACAAACACACCTTCAACAACAACACTTTATTTGTATTCCACCCAATCTCACCGAGGGGACTCAGGGCAGATTCCTGCATACACAAACAAAGACAAACATTCAATATCTAGAAACAACAAAACACAGATAAAGGGAAAGACTTGCCTTTATATGCCAGAAAAAAATGTAAATGGGTAGTGTTCCATGGTGGGAAGAATCAGGCCACCTCTCATTTGTGGCACCCTATTGTCCTTCCAGCAGTAAGCTAAAATTATTTCATTCAGGCAGACATTCAAAGAACCAAAGGGTGCTGTGGAGTTTAAAAACAGTTTTACGTGTTTTAGGGGATTTTAATAGATTTTTTAAATTTAATTTTAATATTTTTATGTTTTGGATTTTAAATTGCATTCTTAATGTTTTGAGCCACTTTGTGTCTCACTCTAGAGACAAAAGCAGAATACAAAATATAATTTATTACAAGAACATGACATCACAGCACACATGCATATAATAATAACAACAACAACAACAACAACAACAACAACAATGACAACAATAAAAATTGGGTAAGGGCAATCTAATGATCATGGCCAGACACTCTTTCTCTTCTGGGGTAGTAGAACTTGTGAATGTTTTTATTCCCCTAACTCTGAAAAATTGTGCAGTTATCATAATGCCCTCCTGATTGTAGTTATATGTCTAACCTCAGAGGTCATGGGCATCTAGAATAGTTCATGCCAGAAGATCTAGACATACAAGAGAAACTCTTAATTTGTAGAAAGCCATTTAGTCAAAGTCTAAGAAATTATAACATAATTATAATATAAATTAAAATCATAATATATTTATAAATGGTAGTAGCTTGGATCAAAAGATTGGCACTGTGCAGGCAGGTGATTGCCATTCTCTACTATTCCCTTTCTAGAAACCCCGTGGCCCCTTCGATCTTCTCGAACTGTTTTTTTTTTTTGAATGGGTCAGAGATGAGCTTTAGAAAAGGAGAAGTGGGTGGGCTCTTTCAATGTAAACAGAAACACCTTTCACTCTCACAGAGATCTTTGAATCCAAGCTATGTTTGGAAAGCACCAGAGTTGCCTAGGCATCATAAGTGCAAGAATAATTGCTATTGTCCTGCATTTGTTTCATGACAGCATCTGAATTTCTCCAAAAGATTAAGCTGTGTGAAACTAAGTGGAACAAATAGCCTTATATATCTTCAGCTGTTTTTAGAAATGATTTTTAAAAATCAGGGGACTTCGAGCCAGAAATTCCCCTGCCAAGAACAGCATTTTCATCTCTTGTGTGTTTGGATAATAAAGTCACTTTGGATGCTCCTTTCCAAGATGAAAGCTGGATGATGTGATCCACCATGTCATATTTATTAACCATTCTCCCAATTATTTTCAAGTTAAATTTATTAAAAGAAACACGAACTTGAATCACCCAGCCTTGTGTTTGAAATTAATTGTCTTGTAGCAAACATTTCCTTCTTTAAATGTCTAAACCTTTCAAAAGATTAAAGGAAATTAGTGCTGGCATGTTTCATTAATTTGGCACTTGTAGCAAGGAGGAAATGTGGGACTAATTTCATTTGTATGGATTAAGAAATGTGTCAGTTTTTCCATTCTCCGTTGCTCTCTAGGGCATTTTTTTACTGCAAGGCCTGTCACGATGACATCACAGATCCCAAAAGGATAAAAAAATGTGGCTGCAAACGACGTAAGTAATCCCCCCTCCCCTTTTCCTGCCTTCTTATTCTATGGGAACTGTTAAGCCTTAATAGATCCCTTTAAATACAATTCTACATTTTCAATAGTCATGGAGGAAACCTAGGAAATCTATCCATACATACACAATTAATAACAGTCTCTGATATTTCCAGTTTGCAATTAGGTTTAAAATTGAAAAACACATCATTTGGTCACACCAGAATTATCATTAGAACCTCTATGGCCCCAATAGATAATTATAAAATTACGTACATGTTTCATAATTATTATATATCTATGGTTAACGTTTTCTTCTCTTCCTCTCCCACTACCTTAAATTAAAATTTCAGTAGTCAAATACGCCCATTATTTTATTTTATTTTTAGCCCCAATTTCACCACTCTACTGAAATCTATCAGGTTTCTAGTGTCAGAAGTAGAATTTAGGTTATGTCTTGTAAAGTAGTAAGATGGAGTAGCTAATAAGGTCCTGACAACATTTTGATAACTTAGTTTTTGACTAAAGCTACCCAAGTTTTTAACCAGATTGTCCAATAGGTGGAAAATTCTGAGCATTATACTATAGTCCCAAAAGTAGCATTTTTAAAGCTCTCAGTAATTGGAGACATGCAGGCTTTGCTCTACTCTTTCTAGATAGATAGAATTTCTTCTTCTTCTTCTTGTGTTTTTCTTGGTACATTGTTCCAGGAGCTACTTTCAGTCACTTGTGCAAAAACTATTCTTGTGCTTCTCTCATCGAAGTTTTATGCACTGAGCAGAGCACTGCTGAGAGGACCTTGTGGCCCCCAAATAGTTGTCTCTGTTTCTCTCTTTCAAAACTTAAGGGTAGCTTAAATAGTCATTGAACTTAAAGCTCAGAGATTCTGTTAAGCCTTAAGAAGCAGGGAAGCTGCCAAGTCCAGTTACTGGTCCATAACAAAGATACATCTCCAATCTCAGGTAGAAAAAAATCTCCATGCCTTAAAAACTCAGTAAGAGCCCCTCTATTCATTCTTTGAAAACTATTCTGTGGGGATCTTAGCCCTACTTCATCATCAAAATGGATCTCTGTTATCTGAAAGATCTAGAATCACCAATGGGCAGTTATGAGCTTATTCTCATGGCTATTCCTAGTGTGAACAATTTACCAGCATATAAAGTATTTAACACTCACTTCCACCACAGTTTTGAGAGTTGTCTGGATGCACCATAATGAGTGAGCTATTAAAAGTCAATGCACACTGAATTCTGTATACACCATGGAGATCACATACAATTCCTTCCACCAATGGCAGTGGTAAGCAATGGAACCTCTGAGAAAAAGGATTATATTTTAATCAAGATTTGCTATACCACTTCTATTTTGATTTTCCCTTTGACATGATGGGAGTAAAAATCTTATCATGTATCAACATCTTGCAAGAGCAGCTTTATGGGCACTTTGTGAGATCTTGGTTTGGTAGGAAAATTTCATTGTAAGATAAGAAATTCTTGCAATGAGTCTCTTGACAGTTATTTGCTTATAGAATATATATCAACATAACAAGCATTCTATCCATAATTGAATGTGCTGAAAACTGTTCCCATTTAAGTGGGCTTCAGAATGTTCCATCATACTCCAGGTTTTATCATGCTCTCCAAAGGGATTAGTGTGAGGTCCAGGTTGTAAAATAAAACAGAATCAATTTGTAATGTTTTCTTCCTGGCCTGTACCACTTAAATGTATACTTAAGAACTGGAGACTGCATATTTGAATATCCCTCAGCAGTTAAACGCTAATATTCCACCATAGTTGCCTTTTTAAGGTGCTGTTTCTTTTCTGTGTGTAGAGAGGAGGGTTGAATGCAGAGTGGAAGTCCTTCTCAAAGGTTCAAACTGAAGTGGTATAGTTCAGGACAAACATTATCATTTTGATTGTTTTGAAAATATTGTTCTGTTATATGGAAACCACAGATTTAAAATATCACAGCTATATGTAATAAGTGGTAAGAAGGAATAAGGAAAATAAGCAGGTTTTAGGAAGAAAATACTAAAAGAACTGAAAAATGATTTTTTAAGAAACCTTTAAAAAATAAATCTAAAATAAGTCAACAAAGGTCTACATGACACCTCTGTGTAAGAAACAGTGAAGCAATTATTCCAACAAACAGATTCTGAAATAAAATTGAGATGGGCAAAGAAGGAAGAAATTTGAACCATGGTGGTTGACATGGAATCCACCAGACTCGTTGAGGAATGTCAAAGGGAGGAAAAGTAATTGTGGCACAACTTAATATTTTCCTATTCAACATTTCTCATTCCCCTTTTTTGTTGGAACAGATAAGCACATTCTACAACTAACTGTACTTCCAACTCTTGCATGTTGGACATTGAAGCATAGGTCTAAAATCCTGACTGCAAGGGGTGGCAAGGAGAAAAGCAATGTGTTTCTTCTCCCACCTACTGCATCTGCCTTACAAAACTCTCCTATTAGAAACTGTGTTGCAGCGGGTTAGTGGCAGCCAGGGTTTAAATAGGCAAGTTGGCTTAAATCTGCAGCTGGCATTGTAAACTATATGTGATAAAGTGATCTCTCCTTAGTAAGCACCTGTGCCTAATTATGCATAGTCAAATCTCATAGATTCCAATGGATGCAGCTGAAAGCCAGATGTAACTGGGCTGCTACCTGTAATTTGATTAAGGCATTGCCAGCAAACTGTATAATGTTTTAGACTGTTGAGAGCCTCTTGCCCTTTTTGTGTCTCCAGGAGTGATGCAGGATTATTTTTTAAACGTAGTGATATGTAACATTAGGGACCTCTTCACATGGAGCATTTTTGCCCCATTTTACTGCTTTTATGTACAACTTGAACATGACCTGCCATGTGCCATCACACAGTGCATGCCAGGCCATACCCACATTTCTCCCAAAGTGGAGGGGAAGCGCCAAAGGGCACTGTCTCCCCACGGCGGACTTGCCCATACTTTCCACCCCTTTTTGCCTTGTGATGACAGAAAGGGCAGCAGGGCAATGCACATTGCTGCCCTTTCTGCGATCTGATGGGGGAGGGAAAGGATGTCAGTGCACCCTTTCCCATCTCCTCTGTGTGATGAGGGGAGGAGGGAGGGTGCATGGGGCACCATGAGCCACCCCACACACCTTCCTTTTCACGGTGCAACATCAGACAATGTGAAGAGGTTGCAAATTAATCAAGATAACTTCAGGGTAATCCACATAAGTTTGACACTGAGGTACTTCCAGAACATTGTTATTATTTTATAAACATATTGCATTCTACAATTGCCCATAAATAAAAAGAAAACTCAACAACATATGAATATGTATAGAGCATACCTGTACAAAAGAAACACTTTGTGCTTTTTGGAGCACTAGTGCAGTGATTTTCAAACACCATTGCTAAGGAACCCTTTGCACATCCATAGCTATCTTCACTATGTATACACTTGCACACTTGTAAGAGGTGGGGGTAAGACTCACGTAGGTCCTCAGACATTGATGGACCATAGCTAGCTACCCATATCATTATGATGTCCAGGGTTTCTGGGGTGGAAATTCTATGATGTTGGGGGAATTGTATGATTCCCACCCACTCTATATAGACTAGGGATCCAGGGCTGCAAAATGTTGACCTGGTGTCATGGCTGCATTTTATAAATGAAGAGATTCCAAGAATCCCTTTGTGACTTTGCATCATCAGGGAGAATAGGTATTATTGGACCCAGTGTCTGTCTACCAGTACTCATATTCTTACTTGGAAACCTCTCAACAATCCCAGGAATCCTTGAAACCATCAGATTTACTTTAGTCTTCCTGGTAAAACTTTGTCAATCAGCCCTCCAACAACTAAACATAGATTTATCAGCTCAACATTCTCCCTTAATCTAACCTTCTAAGGCTGAACCCAAGGACCTTATCTTCTACATTTCTTACTTCACAAATGATGGTAATAGTTAGAAGCATCTGATAAAAGCTAGATAAATGCTGCATATCAGTACAATCAGAAAAGAAAGAGTCTGATTTAGCGCAGCAAGGTTTAATTGTTCATGGATTACAGACCATGTGTAGAGAGAAGCATGTCACTAAACACGGGGGAAGCATGCCCACCTTTTCTTGGTACATTCCTTATTCAGTTTGTCAGCTTCAATTTTAATGGCAAACACAGTGGCCCTTCCACTTTCCTGCAATCTGCACACTTTTGTTTTTTGCTTTGATTGCCATAATAAAAATTAGAACTGCTGGATGGAATTTACATATAAGATTAAATGAAGGCAAACAGAACGAACCTGTGCATACAGGTGAATGAAATGTGAAAGAATAATTTCTTTGCATGGAGATCTTAATTATTGTGGCATTAATTACATGCTGCTTCCTATGATAGTTGAAAGACATGTTCTTTAATAATGCATCTGAGGTTTCACCTCCCTTCAGATGCTGTCTGAACATTAGCTACAGTATTGTCAGGACCTAAAAGTGAGCCTGACCTACATAGCTATTTGTCCAAACCTGTTAGGCCTAGTATTAATAATTCAGTTCTGCAGCTCCACAAAGCCAGAGATAATTAGAGTAACTGTGCTTTCCTTTCACAGATCTTTTCTCTCTTCTCTGCCTGCCATCTTCCTTGTATAATCTGCATATTTTTATGTTATATTTTTCAAAAGTTCTGCTATGAAAATCCTGTGCTCCAGATTATTGCAGTAACCTTGTAATATATTTTACTTGTGTTCTTCTTGTTTCAATTTAATTGACATTTTCTAGGAAGAAATTCTGGTTTCCCATTGCTAATATGAATAAAGATAATGTATTGTGATCAAGGCTACAGCATTTTGTTCATCAGCCAGACAAATCTATTAAACATCCCTTCGTCTGTTTAAACAGGTTCTCTACATTAGAGAGGTCAATATCCAACTGTTTCATCTTCAGAAGTCAGGCTGAATAATTTCCCATTTTTTTTTCTATTCTGCATGGAAAATGAATATTTCTAAGCAATCCTTGTCCATTCACAAATCATAT